CTGTCTGGATCTGCATGGAGGAAGTGCGTGAGAGGCAGTTTACATATTTCTCAGAGCGATCAGGTGCACGGGCTTGTCTGAAGCCTTCTAAAAGGTCAGAGATTGATGCCAACTCTGGTTGTTTGGCTTTAGCTGTCACAACAATGAAGGATCATTTGTTTTATTGTTATTTTATGACTGGAAGAAGATTCAACTACACACATAGTCCTGTAGGAATTAATAACAAGCTTTAGTCTGTAACTGAAACAGGTAATAAAACTAAAAACACTTTGATGGAAGAAAAAAAAACAAGTGACATTTTACTGCAATCAAAACATTCTGACATTGTTGAAACAGTCTGTTATCCTGCTAAAGATGTGGAATCCTTTTCAACTATGAGAACATGAATAGTTTTTATTATTGATATGTAACAAAATATCATGCCTATAACATTAAATGTGTTTAAAGATGGATGACAACTATCCACCCTGCTGTACAAAAGTGAAACCAAAAATACAGTTACCCACCACCTCCCATTCTTCCCCCCAGAATCTATTTCATCTATTTTCCTCTTTAGGCCCTACAGAAATAAGCACATTTTAAGTTACCTGTCTGAACTTGCTACCACGCTTTGTTACATTTGTTTTGGTTTTTCGGATCACCTTTTTATCACTTGCACTGTGTTTCTGTTTCTTTGAAGTTCCCACAAGTGATTTTGAGTTTGCGTCATATAAACACCTTGAGCACATTTTTCCCAATAAAGATCATTCACACTGTTTCTGATTGTTTGTCCTCGTCAGTCACTTTACAAAATACCGGCATGACAGGCACTAACAAGTCAGAATCTGTGCAGTAGAGATCAACTTGTTAAACTGTAGTATCGACACCCTGCCACATCTATTGATGATAACATACATTTAAAGCTTTTTCATAATATCAAATATTAAAGGGATATTCCGGCGTAAAATTAATTAAGGGTCAAACACACCGTAACACAGAGTTAGACACCCCGTCGAGAGATGAATGTTGCTGACCGCTTGCTTCTCTAGTTATACCAACTTTAGTAACGACCGCACGATAGCAATACACAACGGTCTCAGGAGCCACACGCTCAACCAAAACACCACTCTATAGCCACAAATAATGCTCAGAACAGGCACCTAACTTCATCAACAGTACATATAGGATCCCAGCCACAGTACTAGCCACCAAGCATCTTTTTAATTTTGCCTGATTTCTTTCACAAAGAGACTAAACACAACTCACCCACTCTCTTCCAGCAACCGCTTGTTCGTACGGAAACCTCAGACGTGTCCATTACGGACTGTTGCTGGGTGACGCAGCTCAAGGAAGAACATTTATGATCTTTTCTCAATGGAAATGCAGCCAGACCAAGATGCTAAGGCAGAAGAACTACCGTATCTGCAGTGCAAAACTAAAAATATGATGATTATTATTTAAAAGAAATGATAAAGTAATGATCTAACTTGACCTAACCTAACTTAATAAGGTTGAACTGACCTAACCTAATTTTCGATGGAATATCCCTTTTAGTTAAAATCTTGGAAAATACCGTTAAATATGAATTAAGTTCCCATATGTTCCAGTACAGCATCACCTTTGCTATTACCTTTGATACAGGGTTTCGACCAATCAGAATCAGGCATTTAATATAGCCAATTTATGAAAGAGGCTAACTTTTTTTAATCACAGTGTCATCAGGAAAGGGTAAAATATACCTGTTTCTATTTAAGGTATGTGTTTGGTCAAAGCGTTCATGGCATTTCTATTGTTATTGATGCTACTGTGGACCAATCAAAGTCAAGTATTTTAACAGCTGGTTGATAACTGAAAATCAAAATAACTTGTCAAGTTGGATTTAGAGTTCAACAAGGCTGAATAACTCAGGCTAAGTTATGACGTGTTGGAAAAAAATCTTGTGAAAACATGATTTATTATATCTTTGAAGCTTTTGGTGCAACCCAGGCCCGGTAGTTTCCACTCCAGAGCCGCAGGGGTGCATGACTCGTCAGCACTTGGCTTAACCATGTGAAGCTGGTACTCTGCTCTATAGATGAGGCCGCACCTGGTCTATAGAGGATGGAGGTAATCCTTCTCCAACATCCAGAGACTAGCTAAAGGCTACCTGGCACTGGTTAAAAAGGGCTTGACATTGTCATCTTTGTTGTTTTAATTCAAGACTAAAATTTGATTTCAATGGTGCACACAAAGCAGATGTGGACTTCCTTGCCATCAACCAATCAGAGAGACAGATGGGGGGGAAGTAGGATTTTGGATGTGTTGAGGCAGAGCAGCAGGGAGGGTCCATAAGAGAAGAAAAAAGAGCTTAAGGTCTCAAACACACACACACACACACACACACACACACACACACACACACACACACACACACACACACAGAATTCTCTTGCCCACTCCCTCTTCTGGCATGCAGCTGATTGTTGGAGTGGCATTTAATTAATCCTGTCAGAAAAGGTTTAGAGGAAGAGGAGAGGAGGCAGGGAACAAAATAAAAGAAATAGATGGAGAAAGAGGTTCTTCATTTGCAGACTGAAACCCAATTAATTCCAATTTAGTTTAACTTTGGTGCAGACAGCAGAGTTTTTTCACAAATTTAAATTGTTCTTATGCAAAACAGATGCCAGTATTAATCATAATATGTTCTGTTCATTTAGTTTTTCCCTGGTTTTCTCATTTGAGTGCATTTTCTGTGTGTTTTTTCCTAGTGTTTCTGTTCCCTCTTGTTCCTGTTTCCCTGTGTTTTTTTATTCTTTAGATCAGTTTTCAGTGTTTCCTGTTTTATTTTGTAGTAGTTGATTCTTTGTGTTTCTAGTCTGCTTTTACTTCCCTAGTTTTCCCTCCCTCGTTAATCACTCATGAGTTTCACCTGTGTCTCGTTAACCTCACTTGTTGCTCGTTTACCAGTGTGTATATAGTCTCTGGCTGTGTTCGAAATGGATCCCTAACCCCTATAGAGGTGACTACATAGGGATTAGTGCCATTTTGAGGGGTGTCTGAAACCTAAGTGATCAATTCCAACGCCCTGTATAGGCGACTCAAATTTTCCCATAAAGCATTGCAAAATGTAGTGACCATCCGATGGTCACTCACCGGTTGTGGGCATCCCGTCATGCATTGCGTCTTGCCATGTTGTGTCCAAAACCTCCGGTGATTGAGGTCACTACATAGTCAACTATATAGTGAAACCCCATATGGGGGTCAGGGGTTGAGTGATTCATTTTGGACACAGCCTCTGTCTTCCCCTCTGTCCTTGTTGGTTCATTGTCTGTATGTCGATGTGCAGGCATGTCAGCCTGTTCTCTGTGATCTTTTATCTGCGAATCCTTCATCTCCTAGTGATGTCTTTTGTTTGGATTTTGCTTCTTGTGTTTTTTGGAAGCAAGTTTTTTTGTTGCTTTTTGTCAATGTCAGTGTCAGCTTTATTTATATAGCACATTTAAAACAGCCAGTGGCCTACCAAAGTGCTTTACAGTAAAATAGCCAGAAACAATAAAAACAATAAAAACAATAAAAGCTATAAAAACAATAGGATAAAAGGATATAAAACATATAAAAACATAAAACAACAATATAGATTAACATAGCCAATACATAAAAAATCCAATAAAACTAACTGTACTACCCTGAAGGCTAAAGTATTTTGTTCCTTTTATTAAATATTTTTTTATTCTGCATTTGGGTCCTTTTTTCGATATTCAATCTTGCCACGTGACAGTATTTTTAGATAGGTACTGTGGATGCAGCATGTTGTCAATGGTCTACAGATCTTTACCCTTTATTTTTAAACTAAATCTGAATGCTGAAAGTAGAAATAAATATCTCCTTCTTAAGCAGCTGTTACCAAATCTTCAAAACAAAGTATTCAGCCCCTGCAAAAAATCACAGAAGAAGACTTACCCCCAATTTCCACCACATCCAGAAGGGCTCCAATTCGGAACGGTGGCAATGTTGGTCATTGTTAGTCTTCTTGCCAGCAGCTGTGAACTCCGCTGATCCACAGCAGAACAGAAAGAAGCTGGTGGAAATTGACACATTGACTTGAATGGTTATGATCAGTTACCATCAGCGGAAACTGCCTTTTCGTGGCCGTTCCCGATGCAGAGGAAATTGGGGGTTATACAGGTCTGAGCCTAATCTCTGAGACTTGCAATACCTTATGTGTCCACTTGAGGCTGGCTGCAAAAGCTCTAGGAGCCACACACACCCAGGGCACACTTACACTACTCCTTTGTCTGGTCAGTGTTGGTACTTTCAACCATATCTGGGCACAATTTCATTTCTTGGTTGGAAGAGGTGGGCTTCTGCATTGTAGGGTGGCCTATAGAGGACATAAAGTGGGATCAAATGTGAAGGTATCGGCAGCCAGTAGAGAGCATTAAAAAGTGCTTGAAATTGTACATTTAATGTGAGATTTTAAAGGGTCATTGGCATGTCATGATTATGTAACATTTTTAAGACCGATGCTGAATTTACCCATGGCACATAGAGGCCGCGGCGCACGGTTTCCTGTTGAACAACACTTTAGCCACTGCTCAGTAAAACACTTTCGGCAAACAGCTGCATACTTCTCATGTAAGAAATTCTTACTTTACAGACTTCATTGCAACATGCAGGAGACAGGCCAAGTTTTGTGAGTTCTGAGGAAACACAGTTGCTGGAGTGACTCTTGCCTGAATGAATGTTATAGATCTTTGTTGACTAAAAAAAAGCTTGGATCGCCTTCTTGTTCGGTTTGGTATTGGCTGCAAAATTTCATGATTGAATGTTGGAAAGTTATCAAGGCGCATTAGGTTGTTCAGTAGAGGTGATTTCAGACATGGCTTCTGTCTCCCTCTAGTGGAGATAAGCACTTGATGCCATACCTTTCTCTCTTAGTTCATCAATACTCTGAAATTGATTTAGACTCTCAGATGGGCTTATTCCTCAGAGTCTTGACCCAGGTTGGACTTAGACCCTATGTTAGACTCTGCCCGTTGTCCTCGGCTTTCAATACAGGATATAAATCCTTCTCCTTCCCCTACTACTAAACTTGTGACTTCAGAATTCACAGTCACTTTAAAATACACTGATACATGTTAGCTCACATAATGATAAGTGTTTTGAAAGTCGGATTGATGAAATATCATGAAATCCTTCTGTTGTGGGGCATCAAATCTTTTGTATCTCTAAGACCTTTTCCCCCAAAGTAAACAAAAGAACAAAATTAACAAATAAATGTCATCTTTTTTCACCAAAATTAATCAAATTACATGCAGTTAGAAGACTTTTCACGTAATTTGACCAAGTGCAATCAGATTACTTGAAAAAAGTCAATTGATCTGATTATAAATATTCAGGTTACTTCCTCCAGATCACTTTTTTATTTCTCCAAATACTTTGATTCTGAGTAATCAGATTTGTTTTTAAAGTACTCAGATTAAAAATAATTAGAATACTATTTTCCAAGTTCTTGTAATATATGTAATCAGATTACATGTAATAAAATATTATTTTTTTACTAATTTAATTAGATATAAGAGAATGCTATTCCCAAGTGCTGGGATTACAAACTATCTAATTTATTTCATCAGTGTACTCAGATTATAAGTAATCTGATAAATTTTTTAAAACACTCACATACTGAGTAATTAGATTATATTTTTAAAGTGCTCAGACCACAAGTAATCAGATCCCTTTTTTCTAAATTCTTGGATTATATTCATTCAGATTACATGTAATCGGAATAGTTAAAAATGCTTATCTGGAAAATGAATCTGATTTGGTGGTTGAATTTTTTCCTTTCATACTGTCTGTTACTCAAGGCATAAAAAGCAGCTGTAAAACTTAAAAGGCGTCGTACTCTGACATACCTGAACACCTTGTCTCGGTGTGTTCTCACTCAAAGGAACACAATGACATATTCTTATTAATACATACATTTATAAACGGAATATTTGATATTCTGTCAGACATCAAATATTGTATCTTTTGTTGTCTTATACATCATTTAAGTCATTTTCATGTCAAATTTTAAGTTCTTGTCTGTTTTTACATCAAGAGTGAGATGTAGTGTCTTGACCGGGACTGTAGCTGCTGTATATGAGTAAATGATATCCCATAGTACCCCTAATTAATTTCTTCTCAAACCAAGTTAAGTTAAAAAAAGGAAAAGGAAGCATCTTATTCTTTATGAACAGGTTTATTGGTCTTTAGAAAAAACAGTCTACCAAGACTTAAATCAAAATAAAAAGAGATCATGGGTACCTAGTTGTCATCAGCAAGATCAGTGAATCTAACAACCTCATGTGGATGTTAAACACTGAATTTAGTTGACCCCTCTTACACAGAGCTTTACCAATCATACAGCCTACAACCGAGTCATAAGTAAACTTTTTAGTGTTTGTAATGTACCCTTGAGCAGACCGAATGTAACGCTCATGATTAACAATTATCCGCCATAACGCTAAAATGTGAGAGTCTCATGTAGTTGAGAGTTTGTTTCTATACATCACCTGCCTCTTGTCTCACAAATGGCTAAGGCACTTTCCGGAAAAACATTTTTCACCATTTGTTTGAAATAAAAAAGCTGCAAACCGTGGCACATGTGTAAAAAAAACAACAACAACCCAGATACATCATTTCTATCACATTCGTAATTCATGGATCCCCTGATCTACTGCACCCCAGAGTTATAACAGCATAATAACAACAAAATAATGTCTGTAAATCATTTCACACTTTAGACAAGTGTGGATCCGATAGAAGCAAAGACGACTACAGATATTCAGAGTAAAGTAGATAACACATCAATGATTGGGTCCTGCCTCAGACAGGTTAGTCTCTACTCTGTGATAAAAGTCTCTGACATCTACGCAATGACATCTATGGGAGGAGACAAGAATTAACATTTGAGCGTTTTTGAAAATGCAGCAAGTGGAAAAAAAACATTTTAACAGTACAGTACCATAAGTCAACAGTAGAGAATCAACATCCTGCACCAAGATGTTTATATTGATAATAATTTGCAGCATGGTCTATTGAAATAACAGGTCAGTTTCTGAGATAAGAAATTACAATAAGCTGGATTTTGGCATCTCCTGCATCTGTAATTACTGTTAAAGGAAAATAAAAAATAAAAAATTAAAAGAGGTGGTGTATGATGGGGTTGTATTGTATAGCCAGCATGTATTTTTGTTTGAAAAAAAAAAAGAAAGAAAGAAAGAAAAAGCTACGTACTGTTCCTCCAGCAGAGGGACCCCTCATTCCAGTTATCTGCAGCCATGACAAGGCGTTTGCATAGCTTATGTCTACAGTTATGAGATGTACTTGATGCATTTAGGCATGAACAGTGCATGTAGAGAACATGGTAATGCATTCAAAGCACCTGGAAAGCTTCACTGAGGATAAACTTATGTAAGAAGGTATGGTATATGGGTTTTTTACACAGTTTATGTAAATATGAAGAATCATGGTATAGGCAAGAATTGGCACTGCAGCGAGGATGATGTATGAAAGAGGTCAACTTGAAATAAAAGATTGTACAAAATGTGTTCATGGATTGCCAGAAAGGGGTTAGGTTATGAATTTGCATCCCTGGTTTGTATTATGAGACTTATTTTGTTAAAGAAAAAAAAAAGAGAGAAGAAAGAGTAAGTTTTTAAGAAAAGATAAAGTGGCTCCAAAAATGGTGTGTTATGTGACATGACAAGGATAGGCAGCTCAAATGCTGTAAATATGTTGTACTGCTGTGTTCCAGGGTCAGGGTACCATTGGATAATGTGTTTTTCAGTTTTGATCTGGAAACCAAAGTTATTTTATTTTTGGTTTCAAAACTAGAAATAAAAAAGCATTTTACAATCTAAATCAAATAAATCTTGGTCTTTCTATTTATCATTTTGAACTGAATTTCTAACAGGGCTTGTTAGGGCAATTTTCTTTTATGGTTTTGAAAACAAATTTGAAGTCACGTACTTTCCCCCTGTTATCGTTTTAAACAGAAAACCAAAATTAAAGTCACTTGCCAAGTAAGTTTTTGCTCCAGTGCTGGATTTCTCCATATTCCTTTTATCACTTCTCATTTTGGTCAGACCATAGACTGTATATACCATGGACAACTTGGCTTTGCCTCCTGCCTGTATACGGATTTGAAGCCAAAAAGCTCTCCGTATTTCTGGATTTTTTCTTCATTTCCTGAAACTGGTGCTGCACAGTAGCGATGCGCGCATTCGGCGGAAGAGTCGGCGAGATTCGCTGTGATGATGCTCGGCTCAAACGGCGTATCCCCCGGGTGAGCTACGCAATCTCAGGAACGCCAGTAGGCTGTATCAAGTGTCAATCATAGAAAACATGAACCCCCTAATAACTTTTAAAAATGGAGCTTCACAGAAAAAGAGGACTTGAGCACAAACCAGTCTTACAGTAACTACATGTCAACACCGTAAGAAGGGTGAAGAAAAATTTATATTCTGTGTAATAAGTTTCTAAAGTTGGTCCACAGCCCCATAAGCTTTGCTGGCGGAGGCGGGATTTGGGATCTATACTGCAGCCCATCAACAGAGGGCGCTGTTTTCAGAGTGGCTTCACCCAGCGAGGAGGCAGACTCTGTCCATTCTATATACAGTTTATGGGTCAGACAGTTAAATGCCTGTAAGAAGGCATACAGAAGTGAGATTTTTCAAAATAAAAGCCAATAAGATTGTGAAATTCTGCTGGCAGACAGTAGCAGATATCAAACACAAATTCTAAAATGCAGGGTAACATCAGGGGTAAAATGAATAATAGAGGCCTGCACAAGCTGGATAAGGTTTTTATCCATTTACATGTTGACGTGAGATAGTTTAATGTGCGTCATGTATTATTTAGTTGCACAGCATAAAGTATCAGCCTGTTGTCCTCTAAAGAACTGGTAACAGAAGAGACTACCAGAGTCCCCCAAAGTACTGTTATTGCATCATGCTACCTTTTCACTTCATAGTCTGAGATACACTAATGTTTGCTTTATATTATCACGTTGATTATCACTTTTTTTTGGCTTTTACTTCGAAACCCTGATCTCATCACTTCCACCTGCCCTCTTAACCTTTAATTGTCTGAGCAAAATGAGAAACGTTCAAAGGAAAGGAGGGGAACACATGACTTTGTCTTTGAATAAAAAGCCACATTTTCCCCCCGCGGACAAAAAACAAAACAAAATCTTGCTTTTGTGTGGTCTTTGTTTTCTCATTGATTTCTTCCTCTACACAATCTACTAGCTATGTATCACACCGTGTGGATCAGTGACTAACGAATCAATATCTATGCAGTGGTATGCCACTTTCACTAACTCACCACAGCTCTCATTTATCACATAATAGCAGCAAACTACAGGAAAGTAGACATTGATTCATTTGATTCTCTCTTTTTTAAATTTTTTTGTAAATCTAATTTCAAAAATTTGCACTATGTTTGAGCTATGATTTAAAAAAAGACAAACTGCATCAGCATTCAAACCAAACAGCAGACTACCTCTGTGTAACAAATGTTCAACAAATGAAAAGTTCTATCCCTACTCGACTTGAAGCTAACTAGCTTCCTCTCGCTAATTCTGCTTTTTTTAATTCAGCTACATTTGAGATGAAAAGACTAAAAATGAATTCCACATGCAAAATTGAACCCATCTCTGCAGCGTTTCCGAACGACACATTATTTTTGGGGACGAGAGATAAAACCAAGAGGGTGTAGGAGTCAGTGTGTGGAAACTACATTATTCAGTTTGTCTTTCCCTGCTGGCAAGCTAATGCTAGCTAGCATCTGCCTCTGGGAGATCTTGTCAAGTAGCACAAACAGCTGGAGGGGGGACTTGTATGCATATTTTTCTGCTCCACCTCTGCTGAGACTGATAATTAACATCTGTCCCCCACAAGCAAAGCATCTGGACCTTATGGCCCGATGCTGAATGGAATAACCTCCATTATTTTCCCATGTGTGTACTGAAAATAGCTTTGTGAGCTGAGCAGGCTTTTCATTATTTACGGTGAACTATGGTTGAAATAAAGTCCTAAAAAATAGGGTAACAGTGCTACAATTTTGGGGTAATAAATGTTTCAGAATTGCCCCAAGTTAAAGCTACTGTAAGAAATTTTCAGCTGCTTACAGACTGAAATCTATACTAAAACCTCTTTATGGCCTACAAAACCATCAGGGACAAGACTGACTGAGTTTACAAGTAATATTGGGTGATGAAGTGGGCGCCAGACAAAAAGAATCAGCTTTTTTACATTTCTACAGCAAATTTTTACAATTATAAAAATAAATGACTGCGAATAAAGAACGGAGAAGAAAATCCTTTTTCCTAAAAACCATAGACTGTGAAATTACTGGTGATATCACCCGTCTGTTTGCTAGGAGTTTTGAAGCAAATTAATGGTAGGCGCCACATGGGAAATGCTGGCTCAAACTAACTTTCAGTCCAGAGCCTTTAGCCTTTAGCCTTTAGCCTTTAGCTTTAGAAACTCTGAAACAAACATCTGCATTGTCTCCATTTTCTGCTTGATGAAAACCCACTAAGTCATATATAGGACGCAAAAATTGTTCTACCACAACATGATTAGTTTTTGGTATGTCATTCATCCAATGCCGTATCTAAATTGGGTTTTTAGAATTGGCATGGGCCACCCTGTGTAATGGGAATGGCCACCCTAGTCAAAAGGCTTAGACACACCCCTGCAACCCATCGTGATGGGTTTAAAAAACTGATCTTGTCATTTAAAAAACTTTTTTTATGTGAGAAAAAGAAATGTACAGACTTAACAGTCTGATCATTGTCAGACAGACCATTAAGAGTTGTACTTTTTTTAACTTGAATGCTTCTTCCATATTCTCAAGTTGAATGCTTTCCAAAATATCAGCAAAAATGTGCGTTATCAGCTCATTGCATCGACTGTATTGCACTCAGGATGACAGAGATGTACCCATCAGACACTAGCAAGTTTATATTCAGCATTTATATACCCCATTAGCCTGTCAACATCAGCATTAGAGGTGTATTTTTTGCTTGTACCGCTTATACAGTACAGATGATATCTGTTGACTGTGCTGTTGCTCATAATCCAAGAATCCGACCGGTTTTAGAGACGAGAAAAGCAACTTACTCTTGTGTTTGTGCTGCAGTTCTGCTGCTTAAAGGTGTGTTTGTGTGCTACATGGAGGTATTGATGACTATATTAATGTGTGCACTCCCCTCTGCTCTGTTAATTCCCAACACCGCAGCACCAGCAGTTAGCAAGAAAAGGCCACACAAGGGAGCAGAGCACTTGACTCCCTCCAGCTCTCATTGATCGTATGCTGCACACTTTGCACCGCTGACTGACCTGGTGTGAAACTCTGCCCTGGACATGTCATGTAAGTGTTAAGCGCTGAAACTCACTTAAAAGCTTTAGAGGAAAAAAAAAAGCCTCTCTGCCTCTATTTCGCACGACATAAAGCTTCATATTAAGGACACATTAGGTGCTGATGGCTCGTCAAAGCAAAGGAGGGAGAGAAGGAGAGAGAGAGAGAGTACAATCTTAAGATAACAAGAGGAGAGGGGATGGATCATATGCACAGTAGTAGACCGTGCCCCTCCCCCTTGCTAAGTGCTGCAGAGATGCGAGAGAAAGTGTGTGTATGAGGGCAAGTGAGGAGCCGGGAGAGGAGGAGAGGAGGAGGGGGGATGGGGAAGAGAAAGTGTGTATTTATGTTCGAGAGGAGGCCGTTGCTACAGTCTGATGGTGGTTGTAGATGAAGTAGGAGTGAGAGAACAGACAGGGAAGGAAATGAGGTTTGCCTTTGCTGCACTAGCAGGTGAAGAGAGTTTCACACAGAGAAGAAAACACGGGGGTTCAATTCTCTGGCTGGATCTGGTATTGTTCGATTTTTTATGTAATCTATGCAAAGATTAAAGATTTTTCTGCATCAAATCCCTGGGGGATTTACTACTTCTCAGTAAGAAAGCTCTTCTAGCTCAAGCTGAGGGGGAGGCGATGCTAAGGGGGGAGATTGTCCATCCCGGTGTAGTACAGTCGGATAAGGGGGCGTGGCTACTTCAGGAGCCTCCTAGGACAGGGAGAATGTGCTTCTCTTCACGTGCGACATGCTTATGAGGTCAGACAGCAGAGTGCACAATGCACTCTTCAGCCACAGCACTGTACACACACACACATGTCTACACACACAATCATGCATAAGGATGCCTCTGTCTTCTGCACACACACTTACACACAAACACAAAATCCCTCCTCCCCCGTTTCTCTAAGCTGGGACCAGCCAGCAGCAAGGACACCATCCACGGTTTTGACCCTGAATGAAACATTGGGGAGAAAGAAAAGCGGGGGCGTAAAAATAGGACAAGTTGTATCAGTAGAAAAATAGAGGAATTTCCAGAGGCTGATAAAATGTCTTTGGCACTTCTGAAAAACACAGCATATTCACAGAGATTGACACAGAGTATAAAAGGCCAAACTAGAAAGCTCTACAGCCAGAATGAAGATTATGATAATCCAAGTTTATCCACATATGAGTCTGGCCAAGCCGGGGTGGATTTGAGCCTGGACGGGCCCGTACTCCACCATCTCCCCGTCTACAGTGATCATGCCTTGTGTTGAGATGGGCTCCAGCCGCAGAGCCTTCACCCGCTCGTACACCAGGTGGGGGCAGCCGCACGCCAAGTGGGCACCTTTCTCCATGGCGAGGAAAAGGCGCAGTAGAGCGGGACGAGAGATCCCTGCAGTCACATAAAAGAGATGAATCACCCCGTCGTCTGCCATCGCTCCGGGGGCTGTCCACAAGTCTTCAGCGAGGTGGGATTGGTAAATCGCCAGCACCAGGACGAAGTCCTCCTCCCCGACCACTGTCCAGCTCTCTGGGACGGGCTGGTCCAAGCCAGGAAGCAGAGAGTCCACAGGTTCTCTGGTCTTGCCATCAACCTGAGTCTCAGGTCTCTTTGTGGTGATGGCGTTGTTGGAGGAGTTGGTGATGGTGTTGTGGTTGGAGTTTGTGCCAATGTGGTTATGGAGGGAGTTCTGGTTGGGCGAAAGGTTGGGGAAGAGTCGACAGGGGAGAGAGGAGCAGAACGAGGGCTGCTGAGGAGCCGAGGTGGGAGGATGGTTGACCTTGATGCTCCCTTTTGGAGGTTTGGGCGCCTCTTTTACAGGCAGGTAAGCTAACCTGCCCTGATAGGTTCTGAGAGAAGCTAGGCGCACCAAGGTGCCCATCAGGAAGCGGATTGCCCCCACGTGGCGGTACTTCTCACTCTCAATGTCGACGTCAGCAACAAAGCCCCAGGCCAGGGAGAGGAAGGAGAAGAGGCGCTGCCGAGAGGCCAGGTGGACGGACACCAGGTCCATGGAGCCTACTAGACCTTTACAGAGCATGAAGCCACAGCTCAGGAGGAGCTCCTCATTCCACGCTGGAGGTGACCTGAGAGATGGTAAAACAAATTAATCAGGTTACAAGCAATCAAAGCAATGCAGGTCTGAACGATTCAATACTGCATTTAATGAGGGCTTTCAGTATCATGAATATTAGGACATGGCTTCTGTGATTAGCCCATAATCTGGTTGGCAAGGGATCAATTTTTATGACTGTTTTAGTTTTTTCGTTTTCTTCCGCTAATCAGGGTCCGGGTCGTGGGGGCAGCAGCTTCAGGAGGGAAGTCCAGACGGCCCTCACCCCAGCCACTTCCACCAGCTCCTCCGGGGGGATTCCCAGGCGCTCCCAGGCCAGGCGAGAGATATAATCCCTTCACCTGGTCCTGGGCCGGCCACGACGTCTCCTCCGGGTGGGACATGTCCGAAAGACCTCTAACGGGAAGGCATCCTAACCAGATGCCCAAACCACCTCAGCTGACTCCTCTCGATGTGGAGGAGCAGCGCCTCTACTCTGAGTGCCTCCAAGTGCCTGAGCACCCTACCCTATCTCTACGGCTGAGACCAGCCACCCTGCGAAGGAAACCCATTTCGGCCGCTTGTATCCACGATCTCGTTCTTTCAGTCATTACCCACAATTTATGACCATAGGTGAGGGTCGACACACAGATCAACTGGTAAATCGATATTCTCGCCTTACTGCTCAGCTCTTTCTTCACCACGACACATCGGTTAAACGTCCGCATCACCTCAGACGACTCCGATCTGCCTGTCGATCTTCCGCTCCATCCTACCCTCACTAATGAACAAGATCCTGAGATATTCGAACTCCTCCACATAGTCAAAAAAGTAAGACAAAAAAAGAAAATCAAAAAAGACAATTTCACTAATTTCATGCGGAGGCAAGCAAGAACTAAGGCTGGCAGGGAGCCCGCGGATAAATGACCACAAACCTCTGAAATAAAAGCTTATTTTTTCTGTGCATGGATCTTTTCATGGTGAAAACTTGTCTAATAGTTTCTTTACTTTAATGTCCTATCTGCACCTTTCCAGCAGGTGGGGATAACACCTTGTTCAGAAGCTGGGTCCACGGGTTCTGCAGCTGCACTGTGGACCATAATCACTCATAATGTGTGCGTTTCTAAACCCATTACATCATTCCTTTGAGGGTTATCAGCCACCTGAAATGACCTCTGCGGCACAGCTAAGCAGTTCCAGTCTGCTCCGCTGTCTCTGCTCCCTCCTGAGGACTGATGTGCCCAGTCAGCCTTTGCCATAATTACACCGAGAGGAGATAAATCGTTCATTTTTTAGGTCCTCCTTTGCTCTTCCTCGCGACTGTTGGTTCATGCATTTAAATGACTCATTAATGGACTGACTCACTGTGAATAGTGGTGGACAGAGGCCGCCAGGGCGTTGCCTGAGCCACCTGGTAGAATCCCCAAAGGGGTCTGGATGGCCTCTTGCCAGTCCTCCCGCTCCATCAGCCCATTTATCACCTGAATGAACAAGAACAAACACAGAAACTTGAATCAGGCCATGGTCCTGAGGAGAAAGAAGTGTCTGTTCAAGCCCAAAATGATCCCACTCAGTGGTCAAATTATGACTCTGAACTTCTGTCCTAACAGAATAAAACAGCAAAATATCTTTAGACCTCAATAAAGATTTAGGTGCTAGACTCACACTCAGACACTGGGCTTTTTTGTTATGCCTGAGTACAAATTAAATTTTTACAGGCCTATGCTGAAGAGGGATAAAAATAGAAACATGGGTAAGAGGGTTTACATCATTTCCATCAGCACTTGATTGGAAGATTCAGGATGAGGAGATAAAATTCAAATATAAAAACATTTGAGTCTTTTGGGGGAATAAAGATAGGTAAGATGGCCTTTCAGAAGAGCTGTTCGTCTGTAAGAGTCAAATGTTACAGCCGCATGAATCCTCCATGACACATTAAAATCTGATGACAGCAAACAGAGGGAAGAGGTGTTTCGTATTTCAGCTGGGTTCAAGGGAGCAAAGTCAGGAGTTTTCACGAGAAAGTGCAAGGGAGGTGAATTAACCCAGAAACAAACCGGTGTCTTCAGCCTTATCTTTTTCTGACGTCACGCCCAGGGTGGGAAACTCGTATATTACCATGTATTATTATAGTACTCCAGGTTTTAAGTCTTATAAACCTCAATATTCTGACTGACTGGTCATTTCACAGCTTAAGGTTGATGATTAGGGGAGATCGGGTTTGACGGTCCATGAGCTAACATCAGAATAGAGATAATGTTAGCATTTAATCAAAAATTCAACTGTAACATTGATACTCAGTGGTATGTAAGTAAAATTGTATAATGGAGAACTGATGCAATATGAAAACAGACACTGACCGTCACTCCATGGTGATGGCCGATAGCACACGCAAAATACTTGTTTAAAGAGGGCGGTCCGCACCACTTTTGCTCCTAATATCAACTGCGCACGCAATGATAGTAGATCACCCACAACATGCCCACTAATAGCATGTGCAATTTTTCAGTTTGTATTTTTTCAGTTTGCACATTTAGCGCTCGCTATTTTGGCTCTTAGTCGATCAGGCCCATAGATGGCTGCAGCCAAATGCAGAACCTCAAGAGCTCCAATCAGTCCCTGAGCTTCCTCATCCTGTAGGTTCAAATGATGATAATTTATAGCATCTCTGTTTTCTTTTATTTCATCCTTTTTATCTCAGTAAGAAACCAAAAGAAGCTGGATGAATTCAGTCAACACACCTCAAACAGCAGCCCATCTCCAGACATGATAGCCAGGGCGTCCCACTGTGACAGATCGGCCTTCTTCACCACCTCCCGTGCGTGGTTCTGGTGCTCTAAAAGACAGACGGTTGGATAAAGATGAGAGGAAAACAAACAAAAAAAAAAGAGCCAACACTGATTTTGTGTACCAAAAATAATAACAAAGGCACAAACAGATTTGTGGTCAGCCTCTGGGGTAGGATCAGAGGGATTAGGCCCGAAAAGAGATTCAATTTCCACTATCACATTAGCCCATCCAGTGGCTACTCAACAGCTCTGAGGCAGCTTAGCCGCCATGCAAACATCTGTGACCGTCAGAGTGTGCGCATGTGAGTGTCAAGTGTGCGCATGTACATGTTGGTTAATGCACTGGTGGAGGACCGAGCTGCATTATCAGCCTAGTTTTATTGCCAGCGTCCCTGAGTGGGTCCCTCCACATGGAGTCTCTGTGGGCCAATACCGCAAGCATTAAAGTCTGCAGTCCTGCCAGTCCAGACTCCCCTGTGAGGCGCTGCGTGTTTGTTTGTTTGTGTGTGTGCTGGAGAGACAGCAGCGAAAAGAGGAAGAAGTTATTCATGCACGGCCTTCATGGAGGAAATATTTCCCACTCCGGCTGAAGTATTGATCGAAAACACAACCTAGATAAAATCCTCCTCTTCCTTTCCACTTTGCTCATCCTCCACCTGTCCTCTCTCTCTCTCTCTTTTTTCTCCCAGCGGTGCTCCCTGTGTTGTTGCTGCTGTTTGTTTTTCGCTTGTGTGTGTGCTCGGGAGGCTGGAGGCGGTGATGCAGTGCTGTGTTGACAGACAGAGGCAGAGGAAAGGGGAGAGAGAGAAAGAGCTGACTCAGCACTTTTAAGCTGACGGGGGGGTAAGCTGGCCTGATGCTTCGCTTCCCGGGCCGCTTCCTTATTCAGGGGGGCTGCTGCCAAACGCAAACACACACACGTCAGCCTGAAACCTCAAGACAGAGGCGAGTTCAGGTTTTCTCATCGCACAGCTGTTGATTTATTGATTTTTCTCTAAACGGCACAGATTGTAGCCGGTAATTACACTTTTAGAGGCAAAAACCTTGAAAATGAAATCCACCTTTTTTTCACTCTGTACTGAGCGTCCTCCTCACTGTGCCTCATCTTCTGAGGTTAACCAGGGTGAAGATCAAGCTTGGTACACTGGGTGCTTCATACAGTATGTAAAGGGTACATGCTGACACAAGAGGCGCGGCGATGGGTGCTTGTCCTTCCTCAGGCAAAGGCTGAGGGATCAAGGAGCCTGGTGAGTGATATGAGTCCCACCAGTCAATCACTCATAGTCACAATCCTATCTAACAACTGAAGTGACCTATATTCCCCCTCTTAGACTGTCATTACTCCGTCTTTTTTCCACCAAGACCAGCTGCTGACCTTCTTTTTAGCATCAAAAAGAGCCCGCATGCACATCAAAACTCTTTCCAGTACAAAGACGCACATAATCAGTTCGTCCTCTTTTTTGCTCTCTGAATTTGCCCTCATTTCATCACTCTGAGCTGCAGCAGGAATCAGATTCACGCACCCCTGAGCTGAAGCTGAAAGACAGCTGATATGCTAATGCTACCTGTCAATCAGGGTTGAGACTGGGGATGTCGAGCTCCTAGAGTGTGCACTCGACACGGTTCCATCGCTGTTTACCGACAGCTTGTTTGGATTGAAAAAAAAAGCCTCTCAGAGTTCAGAGCCTCTGATGACAGTTTCCAACACACGACATAGTTAAGGTCACAAAAAGGCCACCAGCAGCTCACACTGAATGCAGAGGAGCTGCAGAGACTGATATTTGATGTGGATCAGTGGATGCACCGACTTGCATGTTAAAGGGATATTCTGGCGTGAAATTCATTTAGGGTCAAACACATCGTAACATCGAGTTAGGATGTGTCACGCCACTCTATAACCACAAATAATACTCAGAACAGCACCTAACTTCACCTAACAGTACATATAGGGTCCTAGCCATAGTACTAGCCACCAAACATCTTTTTAACTTTGCCTGATTTCTTTGACAAAGAGACGAAACACAACTTACCTACTCTCCTCCAGCAGCCGTTTGTTTGTAGCGAGACCTCAGGCCAGTCCATTACGCTGCTTCACCCCACTGCAGTCAGTGATGGACTCGCCTGAGGTCTCGTTACAAACAAGCGGCTGCTGGAGGAGAGTAGGTGAGTTGTGTTTAGTCTCTTTGTTAAAGAAATTAGGCAAAGCAAAAAAAAATGTTTGGTGGCTAGTGCTGTGGCTGGGACCCTATATGTACTGTTGATGAAGTTAGGTGCTGTTCTGAGCATTATTTGTGGCTATAGAGTGGCTTTTTGGTTGAGGTTTGTATATGGCTCCTCAGACGGCTGTGTATTGCCATCCTGTGGTTGTTACTAAAGTTGGTAAAACTAGAGAAGCAAGCGGTCGGCAACATTCATCTCTCGAGGGGGTGTCTACCTCGATGTTACAGTGTGTTTGACCCTTTTTTAATTTTAAGCCAGAATATCCCTTTAAGCATTTAGGCTTGTATGAAACAATCACTGGAAAGCATCAAGTTGGTTACACATTTGCACATTTGGAGCAGTGGAAAGCCTGGCGCTGACACCCAGACCTCTACTGGATTGCTAGTCTCTGCTGCTTGCTTCATGGTCTCCCCTTTGTTTCTCAGTAGGTGGCACCTACTCTATGAATCAGCCAGTTACAGAGAATCACCATATGCTTGAGCACAATATTGTGCCACAATATGAGTTTGAATCCTTCTTTACTCTGATAGCCACGTTATTTCCCGCTCTATCCATTAACCCTTCACCTGATTTCAATACAGTGGCAGGTGAGTCTTAGACAAACGGCACGTCTATGATGCTAAGAAAAACAGCATTGATGAAAAACTCAAACAGGTTAAGTATTGCCAGTTTTTCACCAGTGTCTCAGATTACATTAAATGTAAAGCTCCTGTGAGAAATTTTATGTTTGAGTTAATTTTGGCGCCCCCTATGGACAAAGTTGGCTTTGCTTATCTTGTCCTCCCTGCTCAGCTGACACCTACCCACTTTTACTAGTTTAAGGGTTTTAAAACCACAACATTAAATCTATCAAACTTGTCAATGGTCTTGTCTGCTTTTGCATATCAAAAAAATGCATTAATATGAATTTCAGTCTATTTCATTTAAGTCATAAAATTCCTCACAGGAGCTTTAAAGTCATGGATGAGGTTTTGTTGCATGAACTTCAAAACAGGTTAACATTAAAAAGATAAGAAAAAGAAGAAAAACTTTAAATCTTCCATATCATGCAATTACAATGAAATCAAGGCAACAACAACACTTAGTTTCACAATCTCTTCCATCAGGGATAACAGTCTCTTAGAAACACTCTCATTTGCAGTGTTTTTTTTTTTTTGCATGGGTGTTGTCTGAAACCTCCAGGCCACTGTTAGAGAAGAATCCCACAAACACCAGCCTGTGTAAGACCAAAGTGAGCAAGACGACTCAGGGTTTGTCTTACAATAATTATAGTATGATGTCTTAAATATCTTTTAATCTAATTTAATGCTTATTTGTTTTCTGTGATTATTTCTTCTATCTCATTTAATCACCACAGGCTTTAACATTTTAAATCTCATTCCCAGCATTTGCAAACATTACTGTATTCATTACAGTCTGATCTGGGACAAATCATGCCTCATACTGAGATATTGACTTTTAATTTGGATTCGGTAAATTAAAAATCCAGAGCTGGGTGATGGAAAATTAGGAAAAAAAAGCAAAAAGGTGTCTAGACCTGAGTGAGGCGTGTAGCCTGTGAGCAGCTCAAAGTCTGTATTTGCATATAGAGGGAAACGTGAAATGTCAGTGTAAGTGATTTGTGGTGACACATTTGGGGATTCAGTTAAATACCAGCTGTAAGCTAGGCCAAGGTGAGAGATTAAGAAGCAGAATGGCTTGGTTGTAAGTATTGTTGATCCATACTGGTGTTGAAGGTTTAATCCCTTTAACCCTTTTTCCATGTCAGGGTGACCTTTTAGAGGAATCGCCGCTAATTACACGGACTATAAAGGTGTGCGTTAGTCTGACTGACCTGTGATGACAAGTGTGTATGGAACAGAAGCTTCGGTCAGCATGCCCTGCACGTGGCCTGTGAAGAGCTGCAGGGCCTGTCCGCGTCCACTGTGAGGGTTCACCAGAATCATGACTCTGCAAGGCCGGCACACCTCCCCGTACACTACACCTGAGACAAAGAGAGAGAGAGGTGGATGTGAGGACGGGTATGAAGCAGGAAGACATGGGAGGTCTTCTTATGCATGAACAAATACTCCCAAGAATGTATAAGGACAGGTTCACCCCTCAGGGGAGGAACGAACATGAAAGAATGAAGATATAGACTGTGACAGCATTCGGATAGACAGTGTTTAATGTTAATGTGACGGGCTGCTTTCTTCTAGGAGGGAGGGCTTATGAGAGCCTTAGTCAGGATCATAGCGATTATTTATAGCAATTCTATGAAATTGTATTAAGCCCCGCGAGGAAATCCTCCTGTTGCTTATATGGATCAGAGAAAGACTGAGTAATGGATTGAAAACTCTTCATTTGCTCAGGATGGGAGCAATTCAGGATATTATTAAGCTTGATGACACTTGACCGATCAAAAAACAAGGGATCAAATCAAGGGTTTGAAGTGAGCCGTGTATCTGTGGGAGGAAAAGCTCGTCACTTTAGGGATCATCTGTTTTAAATATGCCATCACACACAGCAGTAAGTCTGTTTGGTTTGATATCAACAATCAAATCAAGAGTGAAACAGCTCGTCGGCTTCTGTCCAAAGATAAAAAAAAAAAAATCCTACTCCTAACCTTTAAACTCTCTCATTAGCATTTAAGTACAATTAATCCTGCTGGTTTAATCCAGGAACAGCTGCCAGGCTAAAAAGTGAAGCTCCAGGACCAGGATGTTACTCAGCAACAGTTTTGGCACGGGAGCACCGCATAAACCATGAACCTTTTACAAAACAGATTTAACAAACCAAGACATGGCTGCAAAAATTGATGTCATGTATTATTGATTAGATCACTTAATTTAACTGCATTAAGAGCTTATACAATGAATTTAGCTTTAATGAGCTGTAAATAATTTAGTTCAATTTTTAAAAACTAATTAATTTAAAGTCATATTATGAGTAAGGATAGGTTAAATTACTTATTTAGCCATTTTCACACTATGGCCATTTACCAATGTAACTCTCAGGCTGGGATTTTGAATCACTTAGTTTAAGCTTTCAGATAATAAAATCACAGATATTCATACAATTGTGTCATTACAGCCTATTTGATCAATCCTTAAGTTTCTCCCACTGACAGCTACCTCATATGGGCGAGTTTTAGCATTTATATACAGGATATGTATATTCTATATACAATCTATGGCATTTACCAAGTGTATAAGGCAGTTAGCAACACAGTAGTAAAGGTTTTGTCTTACCTAGAAACAATACGGCAGAATGAAAATGTCAATTAAGAAGCTGTCAGTGATACAGGTTAGTAAAGTTTTCTCATTGCACACATCTTTAGCCTTTCATGCTTAATATGACCATTATGTGAATGTGGGTTATGCAGTCCTGGATGGCACCAAAAACAGAGGAAACCGGGCGAGAGTTAAGTTTACAGTAGAGGTAGATTTTTTTTTTTTTTTTAAAGCAGAAGCCCATGACCTTTCCAGCAGACAGAAACTCTCCTGAGACCAAATCAAATGAATCGGAAAGGACAGAAAATCAAAGCTGTTTCTGCTCTGGAGGACAGGAAGTCCCAGGTCAGTTTTCAACCCAATTATTTGGCTGCTGAACCACCATAGACGCAAACTGCATCCAAACAGACACAACCTGCTTCTGTCTGAGCGTTTTTCTTCTGTGATATCTTACTGTGACTGCCAGCCTCCACCTCATTCAGCCCGTGATGACAGGACACCACATAGGTATGAAAATATATCAGAGTAAGAGGTGCAAACCCAGACGTAGAAGCGAGGTGAGAGTGTGAAAACACACAGGCAGATGCCAAAATCTGCCACTGTTCATCAGCACACAGGTTACCATTGTTTTTCCTCTCGTGTCAGGGGACAATGTGGCTTTCAAGCACAAAAGCTTCTCGCCACACACCCAGAACCAGCTTTCCACAGTGACGCATAGCCTGCATAACTGCAGACATCTAAACCACTGTACACACCTCTTCCTTTTTAAGAGATTTTAGGAGGATAATGAGTACTGATGTGAAAAGAAATCAGTGTATGGGGATTTTTATGCTACAGCCATGCTGTTCTACTCTGGAGGAGTGCTCTTAAATTTCCTAGTCATGCAAGGAAATCAATGTTAATATGATTAAAATATGCACAAGTCTTGGAGATGTTTCCTGCTTAATCTCTATATTCTAGTGAGGAAGAAAGGTTTTGGATGAATACAGGCAGAGTTGTGAGAAAAGGTCAATTATTTACTATTCTTATTCTAGATTAATCTTTATATTGAAAATTTTAAAAGAAAAGAAAAACTTGATTTGGTTTTGGATTTTCACACTTTACATTTTTTCCTTCTGTTGAATTAACTCAATATCTGTATGGACATCTGACTGAATAGTATTATTTATTATTTTATATAATTACATAATATAAAACTAAGATTTCATTCTCTGCACACGTACAATTTATCTTTGAAAGAAATGCTCTTAGCCTCTTATTTGTTTGGGAAGGGATTACTAGATTATGAAACTTTGATTATACGCAAGCAGCTCACGGTCCAAAGTGCATTTATCCAACCAAAACTAACAACATTACATAATCTCAATTTTTTTGTGTTTTGTAAACAGGACCATGAATGTGAATCTTACATGTAATATATGTCATGTAAGTCATTATTCCCACTTCAGAAGCTCTGGCGAGGTCAAAATATTGACATGCCGATTAAGGATGAGCACGTTTTGTCGACTAAATAAATAAAGATGGCCAACCTTGCCAGCTGGCAGCAGACCTGGCAGGATTGTGGGTTTAATCAGGTGTTAAATACTTAAGTATTGTAAACCTGAAGTGCTAACTTAAGTACTGTGAGCCTGAAATGCTGCTTAGACACAACACGGCCACCTGCCACATGGCAGCAGTGGTTGTGGTTGGAGCTCTGTTCAACATCATTTTGTAACGCTCGACTCAAGCTGCTTGATTATTGCAAAAATCATACTCATTGATTATTTGATTGATATTGAGGAAAAACAGCCTAGTGTTTCTTCCTCTAAACAAAGCACAAAATCTTTTTTTATCAAAGGGTTGCAGCAGTCCCGGTCAGCTGGCAGCTGGGTTGCCATGGCAGTGGGTGTAAACACAAATGACGGCCTTGCTCTGCATATTTTAGCACCTTTTATGAATGTTCAGAACAATACCTAAAGCTGCATTAAACAGTGTAAGATTTAAACAGCAACATTTATATTCATTAATATATGTGAGCATTATAGAGCACATAAGTTCACATCATTACATCCCAAACTCACGGTACAGTATAAGGGAATAGCGTTAGGGGTAATGAGTTTAATCTGAGGACAGGAATGAGAAAAAATTAAACAGGTAGTCCGACTTTTCTCTAATCTTTGCTTTCAGACCTCAACAAGCAAACAATTTAGTGAAACTAGTAAATAAAATTATGGAGCAGCTATGAGACTTATTATAATTCTTCAAGGGAGTAAAAGCAGAAGAATCTGGCAGGCCATGAGCGTAATGTCTTTTCAAGTCTTTTCAAGTTTTTTCAATGTTCAGGCAGTTAAATCTGTAAATGCCCCAAACTCTCTCTTAAAAAACGACTGTATGTCTCGACATTTTCCCCGGAGCTGTGTGTGAAAATTTGCGTGACAGGCAAACAGATGCAGAGTTGGTCAGAGTGTGTGTGTGTGTCTGGGTGTGAAATCAACCCATGATGAGAATTCAAATATCTGTGTGCAGATCCTGTCCATCACAAACTTTCAACCCCAGTGTGTATTTCACAGTAACTCACACAAACACACAGGCAGGTGAGGAACAGGATGTAGACCAGGCATGACAATATGTCCGTACTAACAAGCACTTATCTGACATCCTGTCCTGCTAAGTGTATCACCAAGCTGACTGTTTGAAAATACTTGATAATGGTGCAGTGTTCTCTCTCTGGCGTCTCAACAGGAGGCGTCAGATTGAAGGGAAGATGAGAACTCTGATACCACTTCTTCTTTTGTGATTCTGATGATTGAATTTGCAAAATCCTCCAATGCCGAGTGCCAACTTGAATACCAGACTTCAAAAATAACATCTAGCGTTTCGTGCCTGCTGAATTTTACTGGCTGTCAAGCTCAAAGTCACAGTCAGTCAGTCAGTTTGTGATGGATACGCAGAAAGAATGAGAGCTGTATGCTGTGAGATCTATTCTTGATGTACTTTGGTACAGCTATTCCTACCCAACACTTCACCCTAGAGTTGGTGGTTTTTTTTTCAATTAACAACTTCCGTATGTATTAATGCTGAGCAGATTTTCCCAGGGCTTTTAGCTGCTCACCACAGCCAAGGTTAACTACCTCCCCTAGCGGAGTGAAGCTGAAATGTTGTCCTTTTTGTAGTTGGTGAAACCCTGGATGTTGAATAGATATGATATGATAGAAAATAAGATAGAGGTGAAAAAAATTGCTCAAATCTCTTTCTCTTCTTCAGTAAAAGCAGGAAGGAAGAGGAGGTAGAGCGTACAGCCTAACCAGGCTGAACAGGTTTCTCATCCTGGCCTCTTATTTCTTACCTCAACATGCACTTTTCTTTGTTTCTACCTCCTCTCTTCTTTTTTAAAGAGAGTAAGGGGAGGCAGAGTGTACAGCCTAGCCCGGTAGGGGTTAGCTCTACCCTAAACAGGCTACTTATCCTGGCCCCTTTCCTCCCCATCTTCTCTCCAGCATCTCCTGACATGCACTTCTCTTTCATGACTCTTTCTTTTCCACTCCTTTTCTTTGTTAAAGTGAGGGAGTAGGGGGAGGTAGAGCATACACCTCAGCATGGCTTGGTTGATCTCTAGCCCAAACTCTCATCCTAGTTCTATCGTTCCCATCTTCTTTCCAACATCTCTCAACCTTCACTTCTGTTTTTTTTCTCTCTCTCTTCCCTTGTTCAAGTAAAGTAGGGAGAGGTAGAGCGTACAGCCCGACCCTTTAAGGTCAAACCCTCACCCCCAAAAAGCTACACGCAACCATAGCTCCTCAACAGAAAAAAAAGAAAAGGAGTACTACCCCTGGCAGAAATGCAAACAGATGATGACATCGTCGATAACACTGGCACGAAAACGTCAGGAGTGTGGGTTTTTTTGTTTTTTTGAGGTTGAACATGAAGCAGAGTAATGTGCACTGCAAATTATGTCGAGTACTTGTCCTCACAAAGTCGGGGAATATCCTCAAATCTTTTTCACCACCCAAAGTGGTGCCACATGGCAGAGCACGCGCAATGCAAAAGGTTCTAAACCCCGAGTGGAGCAAGGAGCCCACGGCACTTGTGCAGCTGAAACAGCCGACCATTTCACTTTCTCTATTGCAATGCCTTACGACAAAACGTCAAAGAGACGCAAAGACCTCACAGATGCAGCAACTTATTGTATTGCAAATACATGCTACCAATAAGCACTGTTAAATTTCATTTTTTTTATATCGTGATATATCTAGACTGATATGAATAAGATATATTGTGACAAACTTTTTCCCATATCACCCAGCCCTGGAGTAGAGGAAGGTAGAGCCTTTCTCTTTGCCCAAATAGGCTCAACTCAGTCTGTTTGGTTCGGGGACACTCTAAGTAAATGTTGTACAACAGTTACCCCGAAGTCCATGAGGTGCTGTGGGCCTTACTTGGCAAAACAAACCATTGTTGAAAAGAGGTGTTCACTTGATAACACTGGTGATGCACTGGCTTTCACTGCCAATTTATCTCCATCTCTCATCCTGTTTGGGTTGTGGGAAGCATTACAGGCCACATGGTAGGTTATGCAACGTATCAGCGGAGTGTAAATATTGGGATAGAAGTGTAATGGGATGAAGTTTTTTCCACTGAGTGCTTATCCTTTTCATTAGAGCACAAGTATCTTGTGTTTAAAGTTGATCCCTCACATTTAAAACCTCAGGAAAACAAACAGTAGAGAAAACAAACACAAAGCCTAAAAACTAGGTTGGCTTAATTGGTCAGTTTTTTGCCGCTCTTAAACAGTGACTAAACAGTCGTCCTGAGAATACAGAACCCTCAGGTGAAAAAGGTCCACGCAGATACTTGTGAGAATTCCTCAGTACAGAGCAGAGGATGTTGTGCTTTCCTTTGGCTCTTATTAAACTGTGAAAAAAGCTATCCTCTTCTTCTAGAGTCAACTCACATCCAGGCTAGACTGACGTGTCTGCAAACAAGCTGCATTCCAACGTTTCTGGAGAGAGGAAGAAAAGGAAGCAGGACGAGTGAAAAATCTCACATCTGATGCATCACCAGACTGGGAGGAGGGTGAGACGAGTGTTGACAGGCCATCACAGGCGCGTGTCACCAAGCAGGGGACAAAGACTCCTCAGGGATGGAGACGCCCGTCAGGGTCAGGGGTCGTCTGGTGACTCATTGTAGTGCTCCCACTCTGAGGAAGCGAGTAAAAATCTCTGGGGAGGGGGGATCACATTCTGACAGACACACACCTGACCTTGCACAGACCACAGCGCTCACCTCTTTCCACCCTCCAGCAACTGTGTTACCCCATCGTACGTGGTCCCCGCTAGCATCCTGGTCACATCTGCACTGGAATAGCTCGCAGGGATTTGCAATATTCAAGGGTGAACTTGGTCACCTTTAAACAATGTTTTAGTAAGATCAAACCAACGTAACTCCCAAAACAGCGTCACAAACCCACTTCAAAGCTCTTCAAATATCTCTTTTGTGGGGACCTAGTAGCATTTAAGTATGTACACTCATGTATTACTATGAAGGCTTATTCTCACCTATCCCTTCTATAAATCCCATAAGGGCCATTTAGGTTTCCAAAGACTGCTTTAATCCCAATCTCAATCTCAAATGTAGCACCAGAGCCAATCATGGCCTCTTTGGATTAACAATCAGCAATTCGAGCTGATTATCTCACCCAATCATTTATGTTAGCTGCCGCTGGGCATGATTTTCCCATGACGCAGTCACACATGCTAGTAAGTGTAACTGAGCATTCTGGGTCAGCCTTGAAGAAGACAATAATCAATGGGACATCAATCTGAGACCTCAGCCCTTGCTTTTACGAAAGCAAACAAGACCATCCATGACAAGATTGACGCTATTTTTTTTCTTAATTTTGAATGCCTGACACTGTTGCAAGGGGGAAGGTGTCCACTGAGGATCTGAGGAAATGGCTCTGTGTTTTCCCCCAAAATATTTACGGCAAACGATATATTTGACTGTCAAAATTCAACCCAAAATTAATTTTTTTATGCCAAAAGTCACTACTCAGAGACTACTTTAGCCACAGGGGGCGCCAAAATGGACACAAACTGAATGTTCCTTGTAGGGGCTTTAAGCTTCTCCTAGAAAGTAACTGTAGATCAAAATGATTTAGGCTTGAGTGTGGTAAGTCATTCCCTCATTATTACTCTATATTCAGGTCAATGCCTGGTGTGATTAGATGTGATTATCATGTTTTTAGGTTTAGTGAAAGTTTCCGTAACTTGCTGCCTTCACAATTTAGGTGACATTCTGCATCTAAAATGACTGAACATTACATTGACACAGCAGGTCCTGACAGATTCGTGCAACTTCTGTGGACTGCAAAACTCTCACTTAGGTTCAGTCCTGAAAGATTCATAGCCTTATCAGGGGCCAAAGGGTGGATAAGCCACATGAGCTGACATTAACGTGGCTTATCGGCTCAAAAAATCTCAGAAAGTCAAAACCAGTTTTAAGTTGGAACCAGTTCTTAATATATATATTTTTGTCTTGCTTGCTCTGTGTTTATATCTTTAGGCCTTTTTGGTTGAGGTCCAATCCTTGTACCTTTGCCATATATGTCTTAAACTCTTTCTCAAAATCATAAAGTTACTATAAATAGCTGTAAGAATCAACACAACCAATAATGCAATCGTGATCATGCAGGAAACAGGAGCCTAAAGATGTCAAAAATCTCCAATGGTTATGTGCTGAATCTGTCATTTGCCCTCTATAAGCTGTTTGAAAAGCAGAAAGTGACACAGCCAATAGCTCTGGAGGCAGCCACTGGTAGAAAAAGTCAAAGTGAGTAACCATCATCTCACTCCTCTGCATGCAATCTCACTGTGGATCTCAGCAGAATCTGCAGACCATTAGCGTGTGCGGGGCTGTATCATAGTGTATGCACTTCATTATTTACGGCTCATTCCCTCTAACGAAACCTGCAGTAAAAATAAAACCCTGGTGTGAATTCAACACCCAAACTAAATGACAGTAAACTACCTCATTGTGAACTTTCACAGATTTCAGATAAAGTGCGTCACCGTGATATAGCACTCTGACTGAAACAGCAATCTTCCAATGCAATTGCACTTTTAATCCAACCTTTCCATCTGCAATGCCAGATGAGATGCCATGCAATTAACTTCGGGGGTAAATACTCTATAAGGGATTAGCGACTCATGCTGACTTTCAAACACCCTCTATGAGGCAGCAATTGGGTTTGCATCTATTACCACAACATTACTCATTTAAATCCCATAATATATTCTGTTAAATACTGTATTATTGGCTGGGCTGGATGTAGAATGCTAAAACGAGCTTATAAATTAATGATATGATCTCATCACGGCTGAGACGCTGTAGAGGCAAAAAAGGGGAAAATCTGTTGGTTGGCTAGCTAGTTCATTAGCATGTGTGATCTGAAAACCTCCCAAGCTGGGGCTCTTTGATGAGTCCAGGAGGAGGACAGTGACGGGTGTGTATGTGTGTGTGTGGATGGGGGGGTAGCTCTCAGGTTACCATCTGCTATAGGCCCTGAAACCCAAACTCCTGCTGAGGCTATGGATGTTCCTCATCCCACAGAAACCTCTCTCCTCTCTCTGTATTCATCTCCTGTTGTTTGAAATATACACCAGGAGACTGCTAACAAGAGGACAGCCCTCTTTCTAACCCCGGCCATCCTAACACGTACCTCCATCTTTTGGCAACCAGCATTCCAAATTAGTCACCGTCCAGTCAAATATCCGCTTCCCCCCCTTTCAGACCTGCTATGGCTGCCCAGGAGAGCAAACATGTCTGCTGTTTATTTTAAACGCACTGAACTCTTCTTTATGAGAGAAAGGATATTACTAAAGTCCAGTGGTATTGGCAGGCATACTTGTAAAAGCCTGCAAGTCACCTCAGCAAAAAACAGTCAATGCTCTCATAACAGATTTGAAACTGATGGGCATTTACAGTAAAAATAAGTGTGTTCAATCAAACAGAGGTTGAAAAGCATGGATGCGCCTGATGAAGAAATTACATAGAAAAGATGAAACGTTCAACAAACGGGACAGTGTTTTCATCCTGTTAGCTTCCTTCTCATGTGTTTGGCCAGCTGTTTTGACACATAATACATCAGCCGGGAGACAAACTGATACTAACAAGCTGAAAGGAGGCATGTTACCGTGTGCTGTAGCAGAGGTGGACATGCTTCTGTCGATAATTTGATTCCTTTCCAGCCCATGTAAACAAGGACAAGGACAGCAGTCTAGTTAAGTCCATAGACTGCATACACTACGGACAACTTGGTTCCGCTTTCCGCCAGTATACAGATTTGAAGCTAAAAAGCTCTCTGTAATTCTGTGTTTTCTCTCCATTTCCTGAAGCCAACATTGTGCAGTCACTTTGTACGCACTCCACCACTTGCGTAGTAGCATTGTGCACGTTCGGCAGCAGAGTCGCCAAGAGTCACTGTGATGACGCTCGGCTCAAACAGCGTGGATGTCAATCATAGAAAACATGAACCCCCGAATAACTTTTAAAAAAGGAGCTGTACAAAAAAAATGAGGACTTGAGCACAAACCAGTCTTACAATAGCTACATGTCAACATCACAACCGGGAGGAGAAAAAAATTGTGTCCCTTGTAATAAATTTCTAAAGTTTGTCCACAGCCTCATAAGCTTTACTGGTGGAGGCGGGATTAATGACCTATACTGCAGCCCGTCACCAGAGGGTGCTGTTCTATTCTTGGGGTGGCTTCACCCAGCAAGTAGACAGACGGCGTCCATACAGTCTATGGTTAAGTCACCTAATCGAGCTATGGCTGAAGCTTGACTTAACTGTGCATGTCAACATACTGAACGCCTGTCCATCAACACTGGATCTACTTATATCAGACTAGTAATTGCTTTCAGCCAGTTATCAAATCGATGTTGGATTTTTTTCAGCAAGCACCAATACTGATACTCTGGTGGATATCGATACTGCTACAGATGTCTCAACCTGTTAACGCTGGAAAAATACTGTGTCCTAACATCTCATGATATTACCCAGTCTAACACAGCAGAACACAAATCCTCATGTTGGGACCAAAAAACAGCTTTGTCTCTTCATCATCTCTTCTTCCCAAATTACTGAATGAGGAGTAATCAGCTGCATAAACACGCTTCATATTGTATTCATGTTAATGACTCTGGTTGTGAACCAAGATGCAGCCCAGAAAGGCTAATGAGACTGAAAGACAAAGGAACCTGAGGACAGTCTGCTTTTTAAACAGAGCGAGACACGCTGAGACCTAATTAGACATAGCTGCACACAAAAACAGAAGTCTTTGTTTTGGAGGTTTTTTTTTTTTTTTTGTACTCACATCAACAATAAACTCTCAGTGGGATTTTAACAGAGCAGGAATAATGAAGCCTGAGCAGCAGCTACACACTATGTGCTGACAGAGGATCAGTACAAAATCTAATTACTTAAGTGATCAGTTTTGTGAGTTTGTGTTTGTGTGTGTGTTGGTGTGTTAAGACTCCAGATCCAGATTCATCCCTCTCATGTGGGCCGTTGGAATGAATAAGGCAGCTGTAATTACTGCTGGCAGGTTGATCACCTTTCAGTGCAGGTAGAGCAGGTTACTGAGAGCTACAGGAATGTGTGCACCCTCTCTGTAAAACCTGTTTTTGAGGGTAGAAAGGTACAGTGTGGAGGTTCAGTTATGTTACTTCAAAGGAGAGACACGCTATGAGCTGACGTCAAACTGGCTTACTCTACAGCAGGGGCGTGTCTGAAGGGTGGCATACCCCCTTAAAATCTAAATGGCCACCCCAGTGCCACAAAAAAAATCCTACACTGACTTGTTAGAGATCGACACACAGTCCTATCTTTGCCCTTATTATTGGGGTGGCTCATCCTTCTAATTATTTACAGAGGTTAACCCTGAGAACTCCCAGCTATATTTTGCTATTTTTGGTCCACCTGTGCTTTTTGTTTTTTTGTTTTGTAAAAATCTATGTAGAAACTCTATCCTTTCGAGCACAGCAAATATATACAGGACAACCTCAGCTGTCAGTTTATGGGTGCAAAAATTATATAAAATGAATGTGAGAGGAGAGTCAGAACCATCAAAGTCAACCGCAAAAAAAAGGGGAAATTGATACCAACAGTACTTTGCTCAAAAAACACATAAATCTACAGTGACCAACCCTTTTCTCACCTGCACATCATTCTGTCAAGTCTTGGCTACCAGGAGAAGAAATATTGGGATTGGAACGAACACACAACAGAAACTATTTACATATTCACACAAATTCTTCTAGATGTTTTTTGCTGTTTACAGTTGTTTATGCCACTCCTTGAAGCAGTTCCTGTCTAGGATGAGACATAATCACTTCTTGGCTTGTTTCCAAGCATTGAGGACCAATATTTCTTATTTTGCAGACACGCAGGGAACTTCCTTGTCTCTTGTTGATCTTTGGTTGCCTCTTATTGGACACTACCGCCAAGGGAACAATAAAGAAGAATATGAGACCATGTAATTGATCAAAAGTTTGACAGAAAAAGATGTCATCAAAACAGCTTGTCGAACCTGGGAGACATTAGCGGCATTTAGCAATAGCAATCTTTTTTTTATCACAACAATATGATAAATAATCATGTTTTCACCATCAAACGTCTTTGATCAAACACCTATTTTTGTGGCTGGATTGTAAACCTTGTGGCAGGTGAAGAAATGCCTGGAAACCCTTGATAGATCCCCAAAAGGGTACGCTTTTGAACGCTTTTTATCCCATAGAGATACACTGTATAGTTCCCGAGAAACTGTAAACAATATTAATGGTGTCAAGTGTTAAGAATGGATGCAATGGTCAGGTTACGATGAAAGCGCCTTCAGCTGGGTTTTACGGCATAACTTAGGCGGCCTTGTGATGATACTGATGCTCCATAAATTTGTTTTTGAGTAGCTCATTACAGTTCAATATCAGGCTTCCTCCCCAATTTTGAGGGGTGACTCTCACAAGATAAAAAGTGACAGGTAAAAAATATGCAGATGAATATAAATTTTATGGCACTTTGATGTTGGGCGTCAAAGTAGTTCCTCAGAGCAGTAGGGAAAGAAAGATTAAACAAATGCTATGAGCAAGTGTGTGTGAATATAGCTACTTCATGTCATCCCTAATTTAGTCAGACCCTCTGTTGGGCCACTCCTGTCAACAAAAAAATCGAGGTCTTCTGTCATTTGAGTGAAAAAAGAAAACTTTAATGGTATTTAATGCACCTCTCCATAAAACTGTCTACCTTTTCGTTGGAACAGTGTGTTGACTTTGAGGTTAAAAAAAAGAAAAAAAGAAAAGTTGCTTGACCACCATTACCCCCCTTGTTTTCATGATGCTCACCGTCTCTTCGGGGCGCTTGCAGCACGGACGCTTCTCTAATGGCACGAGCCCACCTCTCAGCCTCCTGGAGGTTCGCGAGCGGGTCCTGGACCAGCGCCACCCGAAAGCACTGCTCCACTCTCTGCCGGGCAACTCCGGCGCTCATCCAGCGCCTTTTAAACGGGTAGAAATACGCCGTGAAGTAGGCACCGACGTCCGTGCTGTCCGGCCCTCTGTACGCCCGACAGCCGATACAGTCTGTCAAGTTAAAAACCATCTTCGTCCGGCCGGGGGACGAGGAGATCCTCTGGACCGTCAAGGCGCTCTCCGTCAAGCTCACCGAGTACCGGACCCGGTCGTTGAGCGTGTCTGTGAACTCCCCATAAAGCACGCCCACGACCCCGTTCCTCTGGCGGGATGGGTCCGGTTCAGAGGCGTCTTTCTCCATCCCGGACGGAGAGTGCGACGCGTCCCGCAGGCCGGTGTGCGGATGGCGGAGCGGTGCAGACTCTCTGGTCCTGCCTGTCTGCTGTCTATGGGACCCTTTGAGTGTGAGAGCAGCAGCGGCTTTTTCTAGTTCACAGTCTCTCCCTAGTGACTGGTAGGAGGAACGGCAGCGGAGGAGAAGTTGTCCTCAGACATCGTCCCTCTCTCTCTGTAAACTGTCCTGTCTGCTCCGAAGAGGTCTTAATAGCAAATTTAACCCCGCAAGTAGTTGTGAGACATGTTTGTGTTTCTTCTGGCCCTGTTAACACCTTAGGCTTAAACGCCTGAGTTTGACCCATTAGTGTGTGATTTTCAGGCCCAATTGGTTACACAGCAGAAACAAACAACCAGAAACTGAACCATCCTGAGTCTAACTCAAGACTAGACTCATGATTTTTTTTTTACCAGATTTAAAATGTCCCCCCTATAGTAGGCTACCCAGTAGGGGAGACCGGGGCTTGTTGTCACATGGGTAAGTTGTCACATTGCAGTTGTCTTTGCCGCCAGAGGGCGCAACTAAAATTTAGAATACTAGTTTTCTTGGTTTACATCAGTGGTTCTCAAGTCCAGTCCTCGAGGCCCACTGTCCTGCATGTTTTGGATGTTTCCCTGCTCCAACACAACTGATTCAAATGATTAGCTTGTTATTAAGCCATTACAGAGCTTGATAACGAGCTGATCATTTGAATCAGGTGTGTTGGGAGGGAAACATTATTACATTATTGAACAACCAATTCTGTCATTTCAAAGCTATGAGGCTTAGAAATGTTTACATTGATTAAACACAAGGGACATTGCAACATAGTGGAGCTAGATAAACAATTATCTTGAAATCCAGATTGATTTGTCCCACTCCAACAAACTCAGTGGTCTCTATTTGGGGGGAAAATGCAACAGGACAAGCAATAGATGATATGTCCACTGCGTGTCCACTTCATATTACAAATGACTATCGAGCCGTTACAGAGCTTAATAACGAGCTGATCATTTGAATCAGGTGTGTTGGAGCAGGGAAACATCCAAAACATGCAGGACAGTGGGCCTCGAGGACTGGACTTGAGAACCACTGGTATATAGTGTACATACTTGTATATTATCTCTTTATTTTTACTTACTTTTACTTACTTTTTACTGATTTTATCTATTATTTATCCCCTCCTTCTACTTAACTTGCACTGGAGTTACTGTAACCAAAAGCAATTTCCTCCTGGGGATAATTAAAGTATTTCTGATTCTGATCTTTATTGGCTACTTTACCTTGTGCTCGTCTACGCTTTAGCCCTCCAGTCCAGCCGGTGGCGGTAATGAGTCTGTAAGCTGGGTTGCTGACCACCGGTGAATAAAACGCCGATGAAGAACGATTTCCAGCCTCTTTCACTGGCAGCAGCGTGGACGTTGCTTGAGAAGCTCTTGTCATGAGGTTTTCACACACTTTTTTACACGTTTATCCAAATATGAAGATTGCTACAGATGAGCCACCTTGAATAGGTAAGTATTTAATGAGTTAACGAGAATGTGATGTTTGTGGGAGTCATGTAGCGGGTTTGTGCGCCATTTTAGCGGTTAGCTCAGATACACCGAATTCCAAGCAAACACGTGCAAAGAGAGACTTAAAGTAAAGTTATGTTTGCTTTAACAACAAGAACCAGTTTAAAGATTACATTGTCGTAGAATAACCTGATTGTACTGATTTAAATGAATTTTGTGTTGTGTATTCTTGCTTTGGAGAGGTGCGGACAGACACGTGGTCATGATATCTCTGATCAGAGCTGAACTTTTTGATTTATTTTTGTTTCTCTGCAGGCAGCTATGGTGGATTTGACGGCTGGTTAAATGGTCCTCACAATAAAAGGTACTACTAAGTTTTTTATTAATGTTGTGTGCCTTACTCACAGCTGCATATATGATGATTTTGTTATCCCTGTCTGAATAAACCAGTGAGGAAAGCAATGGTATCTGACTTGCTGCAGACTGATGTGTGGTGTCACATCTATCTAGTGTATTTCCACTAATGACACGTGTTTTCACAGGGCTGTGGCTCTTCTAGTGCAATATGGAGTGCAAAAGTGAAGGGCCATCATCATCATGGGATCTAGGTTTGTACTACCTTGACGCACACTACTTAAGAAAATACAAATTCAGTGATGAAAACTGCTGCATAGGAAGTGCCGTCTGATGCGACAACTGACGATGGCGATAGCTGTTCTGAGATTAATATTCAGATCTCTGTTTTCGGTGTGCTTCAGCTGGAGCAATTTATGATGGATTTAAAAATGGTCATTGCAGGTCCTTGAGTCTGGAGAGCCAGACTGAGGAGACACCAAGGGATGAAATGCTTAACAGGTAAATGTTTAAAGACGGGCAGTTCATGTCAAGCCAGTGATGATAAAAGTTATCCCTGTCTGAACTCAAATGTGGAGTCATGGTAACCTGAGGCTTGTCTGTAAATGCAACCTCTATTCATCTTCAGATAACAAGAAGACTAGTGTGAAAATCTAAACATTGCTTTTTTTTCCTCCCCTCTATCTTCCAGATGAAAACGAAGGTGGCACAATAAGATCCTGGGCCCTAATCAAGATGAATAAGTTGGACTGAGTTTGATAAAAAATGTTTAATAAAATAATCAGGATGTTGTATAAAATTCAAGTATTCACTCGTTAAGTGGCAAAAATCCAACTGGGAGCACCTGGTGTTGGTCAGTCTGTGTTGAAGTATGATTTGTAAGATCTCTTCTTGAGATTGTCCAAGAAGATCTGCTCCTCCTCCAGGTACTCACGATCCTGTGTGAAGGAAAAGGAAATATTAGAAATGGATGATTTAGGAAATGAAATCTCAGAGGAAACTGTTGTCCCCAGTGTAAATGTTTCTGTACTGGAATCTTTGCTCTTACCATCAATAAAGCATCTGAAGGTACTACATGTTGGTGTTTTGAGTGTTTGTGTTAAGAGATCTGACCTCAATACATTTTCAAACAGCTTTTTAAAAATGAAGCACATTTTTGTTTAATTTAGCAAATCATTTATTTTAATAATGACATGTTTCTATGATGTCCTGGAGCCTGTTTCAGAGACAAGGGTTGAAAACAGAGTCTAACCCTGAACATCCACAGCACACTGGAATCGACTCTACTTAAACTTTATCGGAAGTGAATATAAAGTTTAAGTAAAGTCATCTCGTCTTCTTTACTTGCTTTGGACCTGCTACCAACTGGCACTTGACAATCTAGGCTGTGGAAGGGAAATTCTGGTTCCAGATTTTATTCATATTAAGATGCAATCTTAGAGAAAAGTGAACTTGGAGCAGCTGAAAAACAAGAATATACCAGTGGCTCAACAAGTAAAGCTTTGGTTTTATAGGCTGTTGTCTTTTGTTACTGTACAATACGCCTTGATATGTGCAGTACAAATAAATTCGAATCTCAGTGTTAGCCTCAAATTTATATAAACCAATCTAAAAATTTAGATAGGCAATATTTATCCTGCTATGTGTTTATTTGATTCACTTGAATTATTAAGAGTCATTGTTTGTCTCTGCTCACCTTTTCTGCGCTGTACCTCCACAGAGCCAGACTAGCTTGAAGAGCAGAGGCCTGAGACTCGGCGAATGAAGCAGGAGCGGGAATATTCATGGTGGACGTGAGATCAGGGTTTGGCAAAAATGTAGTGGCATCTGCGGATTATAATCAATCCCTCGTTTAAACTGACTTTGTCACGGGTTTGTGGATGTCGTAATTTCATTTAACAGAGTTGATCTCACCTGGTAAAATGGGTTGAATTAGTTGTGGTGAAAATCTTGCAGAGATCTCTGAGTCCTTCTGCAGATGACTCGACCTCATTCGCTCCTGGAACGAGAAGTGTAGGTGTGTAAGCTTTTGAGTTAAGCTCTACTTGCATGCTTTATTTCGTGAGTGCAGAGAAAGGGACAAACCTGCAGCAGTCTCTGTTCCTGCTGCCTCAGTCGCTCCGTCTGCGTCTGTATATTCCTCAGCCTCGCCTCGTGCTCCGCTTCTACACATTTAGCCTCCCGCACAGCTCGTTCTCCCTCTTCATGCTTGTCTGCTGCGAGCTGATGAGAACAAAGTGTGATGAGAAGTCATATGTTTCACACTGCCTACAATATGCAGCACATATTTTATTCAGGGGTCTGTGTGGTGTACATTTACCTTACTGAAGGCCTCCACTTCTTGAGCTCGTGTCTTGAGTCTCAATGCCGTGCTGCTGACTTTCTCTTTCTCTCTCTCTAGCTCTTCTCTCAGTCTCTCCAGACTCTCTCTCTCTTGTGCCAAAACCATTTCCTTCTGTTTCAGCTCTGCTGTGTGAAGTTTGAGGTCAGCTTGTTCCTACAATAGAAGAAGAGTGAAATTAATGTGTCATAAGGAGATTAATACCATTATATTTAAACAGACAGACTTGTTCAGGCTGCCCCTCTATCATAATGTCAGACATGAGATTCATAAAATCTGTTCCTTTGTTTGGCAGACTTGTATTTTCTACAAAGTTTTAATTATTTTTTGCCTGTTTGAAGTCTTTATGGAGAGGTTCACATTATTCCTCCTGCAGGTCGTGTGGTGCACGTTTAATTAGGTCAGAGGTTTCTAATGTAGGGTTGTCCCGATATGATATTGATATCAGATATTGGTCCAATATCAGCTAAAAACAAATATCTGATTATATCGGCCTGCATCTAAAATCTCTGCTATCAGCACTCCGATACAAGCAGTACATACAAGAATCTGCTCCGGCACCTCTATCTAGCAGTTTCCTGATCCAGCAAGCTGAGCCCACAAAATCACAACAACAGTGTGTACTAACGTACTAACAAAGTACCAAAGAGTAAGAGTGATGTTGGCCTTGTGGCAGTATTTTTTGTTTAAGTCTAAAAAAAGACATTGCAGCTGAGTACAAAACACGTCATGCACAATTTAGTGCCAATATCACATCAATATCGGTTTTGGCCAATATTAACCCTCCTCCTGTGTTAGAGTCTGCACCGACCCGTTTTTGATTTTAAATGCTTAAAAGAACCACTTGAATTAGCTTTTTTGCATCAAGACTTTTTGACTTTGTCAGGAATCTCTATTTCAACAAAATAAAAAAAATTGAATTGACTAAATGATAAAATACTCTTATTGAAATTATGGCACTTGTCGTGTTAGGGTCGCTGTTGACCCAGTTAGGTCAATAACTAATAATTAGAGCAAAAACTGAAATCATAAGTGCACTGTCAGGCACCACACTGACAGTCAGATCCTCTTCCAATCATGTGAGATTTAGGAAACTATAATTTTGCCATGTTTTTCCCTGTGCAAAAAACGTCAGGCATGTCCAGACATGTGAGATCAATTCAGTATCTAGATGTCTGTGTGAGGGGTATACTGACAAAGAAAGGCCCAGAGGCACACTACAAAAACTACAAAAAAGAGCTTTACAGCTATTCATTCAAACACAGAGGTGATAGGATAGAGATATTTGATAGAAGCTGAATGTCGCAAGACAAAAAGACAGCATGTTAAGGCAATAATGTTACTAAGCAGTTAAGAAACTTTTGGCCTGTCTTAAGTAATATACTAAAGAGGTTCATAAGGGTTTCATTCTGCCTGTCGATGATAAATTTATAAGACGGTTCATCTATAAAAACCAGAAAGTTAAAAAAATAAATGTTTTGTACCTGACAAGTTTCAACTACTGCCTCTGCAGCCTTCATCAGAGGTGTCACATGATTTTATCAGGTACAAAATGTTTATTTTTTCACCTTTTTGGCCTTTATAGATGAACCGTCTTATAATTTCTGTCTTAAGTAAAGTCTACTGATGAATAATCTCAAGTGATGTAGCTTTCTCTTCGACCAGCACTGTTAACCTCACCTGTGCCAGACTGATAATGGAGCCCTCCCTCTTCTCCAGCAGGCTGCTGGCCTCTCGTTCAGCCCTCTCATGCCTCTGCTTCTCCACATTGTGGAAGTGAGCCCACTCAGCCGCCAGCTTCTTCCTCTCCTCTGCGCACTGCTGCATCACTGACTTCTGCTCCTCTAGTAAGGCGCTCTGATGAAAGCAAAGACAGGCAGGAGAGGTGAAGGGTGGCTCATGGAGTGAACGAGGAGGAGGAAAACTGCACTGAGGTGCATGATAAGCAGTCTCACCTTGGCTCTTTCCAGCTCCTCTCGCTCCATGTTGATCTGCATGCTGAGAGTACGCCGCTCCTCCTCCAGGCTTCTCTGGGTGGACTCGGCTTTGGCCTGCTCTGCTGTCATCTTCCAGCGTTCCTGAGAAGGACCAAGAAAGTAAAAGAGGTGCCATTTTACTTTAGTCAAGGTGTTTGTTTGTAAAATACAGGACTGGGTATAAGAAAATCAGTGACCACAATTATAACCCTTTTTCACTTTTGAACTACCCGATCTTATGATTTGATCATATCTGATGTTTTCATCAATTGCCCAATTAGTTTCATACAACTGGGCGATGGTGACATGTCGCCATGGTTGCAACATGTCAATCAATTCATGGGGCAACACCTTCATGCATATTTTTCCTTCAGCAAAGGCAATAAATGAACTTTATACCAGGCTCACTTTTACACCTGGTTTCCATTTCACGATCAGCAGTCGCCCCCTGCTGGCCCATATAGGGAGAGCAAGATTTGTATCGGCCCTAACCCTTTGGACTCCAGCTGATATACAGTGTTATGTTCTTGTTCTTCAGTCCTTTTTAAAAGTAATCTCTAGTATAGTTTGTTTTTTAAAGAGTGATTTCTGTCTGACCTTCTCCAGCTGTCTCTGCTGCTCGTTGAGCTGAGTGTCCATCCTGGCGATGATTTCTTTTAGGTAAGCTCTCTCCTCCTCCATGCTTTTCTGCTTCTGTGCCAGACGGTCCTGCACCACTAAAATCCACATTTAGACAATGACCGTCACCCACATACTACATTATAACATCAACATAAAGTGTGTGTTTGTGTGTCTGAGGTACTTCGAAGCTGCTCGTCTCTGTGCCGTGCCCCCTGCTCCAGGCACTGAGCCGTGTGTTCATGAGTGCTCTCCACTCGAGAGGAGAGATCTCCGAGCCGGGAGGAGAACTGCTCCATCTGCTCAATCACCACCGTGAGGGACCTGGATGAGAGACACAGACTTCAATCAGACTATGGACTTCACCGGTAGGCAATGTTGAAATCTGTTTGGATTATAGAACAGTAATAATAGCTATCAGTATCAGTGAGTATATGAAACATTAGAAATTCAGACAATCAGCCTTCTTGGTGATGATCTTGTTTACTTTTGAAGGTCACCAAAAGGCATTAGTGTCAGTTTCAGTCTATTTCTCAGAACTCCTTTTAGTGCCTGTAACAGCGATTAAATTTGTCTCATACTTAGTCCAGTCCAGGACAGCTGGTTTTTAAAATCCACTCTACCTGGTTTGAGATGTTGCACTCGTCACCGCATCGATCTCCTCGTCCTTGAGTTTCTTCAACCTCTTGATCTGGTCCTCGTGATCTTTCTTCATCTCTAGAATTGACCTCCTTGATGACAAAATTGAATTTAAGGTCTTTGATTTGTAATAAAATATAACATACTGACTCAAGGAGCTATTGGGGGCTCTATTTTCGTGCGCGCCGGTGAGGCGGTGGAGGGCGGCGAGCCCCGCGCAGTTGTATTTTCGTCTGGCGGAGCCCAGCGTAAGGCCAAGTTGGTATTTTCGTGGACTGAGCCGCACGGAGGCGAGCCGAGATCCGCCAAGCTGGGCGTGGTGGCGTGGCAGGGGGAGGTGTCGAAAGAATCAGCAGGCGCAGTGACATTTTCGTGCTCGCCAATGGCGTGTAAAGTGCGCTGAAAGCTCGCCGATTCAAACCTGGTCAGCTTTCAGCGCAAGGCAGAACGCAGCTGGTCCAGTAGTATTTTGGTAGACCGGCGGCGTATCGACATACGTTACTGATGCCTCACCGGCAGGTTTCCACAGTGTCGGGCAGATTTCAGTGCAATAAATAATCATCATCAACTATTAATCTGAGTCAGCACATACATTTAGATCTATATAGATATATTCTGATCTATATCTGATCTGATGAGTGCGTTTGGCACGCGTTTGGACACACAACCTGACCGAATCAACACAGCTGAAACCGCATCAAATTAAATTAAATATCTAGTAAATAAACACACATGATGAAGTTAACAAGATATGTAATTCGTCTCCCTCCTTTTCTTTTTTCCTCTTCCTCTTATTTCTCGCACAGCTCGACCTGGACACGTCTCCGTGTCCTCTGTCCGTTTTGCTGCTGCGGCGGCTGAACAGATGATTTGTTTCAGTGCTCAGATGCGTGATCTACTTTAAGCCGACATACGGATATTATAATATTCAGTTTTGTGGGCCAAATTTATTTTATATGCCAACATCTATGAAAGAAAGAGCCAGGCCACGGAGCGCGATGCGTCATTTACGCACAGATGGTTCCGATTTTAATGCCATTTTTGGAGTTTATGTTGTGATCTGTGCGCTCAACCCACCTTTGTCATGTGAGGTTTGAATATGAGCAACTTTATGTGAGTGTCTTTATTTGTGGAAAAGGGTGTTTGTCTTACCAGTGGGTCCAACATTACGCACACTAAATCCATCTGTGCTCATATGAGAGAGTGTGGAGGACACTTGTTGAGGAGCTGCCCTCTGTCGCCATCTTGTGGCACAACTGTCTTCAGACATCTCTTGATCTCTTTGACTACTTCATGAAAATAGTAATACGCCTCGCCTGTGGCGGATGTAAAGGCAAGGAGAGGAGCTTATGTGATTGGTGAAAACAGGTCTCGGCTGTGTTAAACCCACTACACGCCCTTTCTCCTCCCTGTCTATGACTTATGCTGCTAGGAGGAGCTGAGTTAGGAAGGGGGGATACTTACGCCGGGCTGCGCGGCTCACCAAAATACCAAAATGTGCTTGGGAACACCTTGTCAGCGCGGCGGATCTGACTGACGCTGCGCTTGCGGCACGTCTCCGGCGAGGCACCAAAATAGAGCCCTGTGTCTCTCTTTATGTTTTGATGTTGAAACTGCGAATTAAATTGAGTCGAATCAGAGTTTTATGGGCTTGACCGACACAGAAGAGTCCATAAATCTGATATAGAGAATAGGGATGTACCGATCCGGTATTTGGATCGGATATCGGATATTGACAAATTAACTTGATCGGATACTGGATGGATGATGCCGATCCAGCGTTGTGTGCTAATGTGCAATTTGTTAATAAATAGTATTAAGTAAATGTATATCTTTGTTAATTTGTTGCCTTTTTTTAACAAGGCTAATGTCAAGCCTGATGCCTTCACTCACAGGGCAAGTTATACAGTTCATTCATTCAACAGTAGTACTGCATCGATACTGGATATCGGCCGATACACTCAACTCAGGTATCAGTGTCGGATTGGATCGGAAAAAATGGATCGGTGCTTCTCTAATAGAGAAGGAGGGATGTCACAAACATTTCTTCACAAGTAAAAATAAAGATTGTCTGCAGTTTCGGTTGCTCTTCTTCAGTAGAAAACATGTATTGAGTATATAAAATGTGGAAAACTCAAGTACCTGGGGTCATGGAATCAGTCTAAAACTAAAGCTATAGGCCTGGTTTACCTCTGGAGGTCTTTCAGTCTTGCCACCTCATGGTCTCTCTCTTGCTGGACCTGGGTCATTTTACGCTGGTACTGAGCCTGCAGCTCCGAACATTCCTTCTCTGCTGATTTTGTTACAGCAGCCAAGCGCTCCATCAGGTCATCATGATCCTGCAGCGCTCGTGTCTCCGTCTGAGCAGCCAGGTCCTCCAGTCTTCTTACTTGGGCTCTTAGCATCACACAGAGAAAAACAGCCTGTTTTAGAAATGTGGGGAAATCTGCATATAATCTTTTGTATTTGTGGAAAAACATACTTGTGTGTGCTGTCCATGAGCTCGATTTCCTGTTTATGCCTCTGCTGGATGTTTTCCAGCACAAACTGGCTCTGGTCTCTCTCCAACTGCAGCATCTTCACCTTTATATGAACACAAATATCAACAAAGTGGAACCCCAGTAGCAATTAAGTGATGGCAGTATTTCTGCAGGGAGAACGAGCGACTTTTGGGGTGCTCTTGTGAAGTCAGGAAATAACTATAAAACACCTTCCAGTTAACTGTAACCAGTTAGCAATATCATTCAGGCTAGCTTCAATAACATGAATCCAAAAGGTCTTAAGTTTGGCATCACAACAAAAACCATTGAGCAGATTTTACTTTAAACATTAAAACTGAAATATTACAAATTTAAACTCAGACCCCAACGTACAGACTCCACATTTGTTTGTCAGGATCTGTACACAGAGCTCACATTGACTGTAACACACCTGACCCTCCAGCTGAATGATGCGAGCCTGCAAAGCTTGACAATCCACAGACTGCTTCTCCCTCTCCCTGCCTTTTTGCAGGGCTGTTGAATCCATAACCCCTCCAAGACCCAGCAGCTGAGACTGCATCATCGTAAGAAGAAAAGTAAACACATCAGGAAAAAAAAACTAGGCCACAAGCATAATTTATTATTATTTATTTAATCTTTTAAAAAGTTATCTGTGAGTAGAGACTGGATTTTCCAAACCTGTTGCTGTAGAAGCAGCTGCTGCAGACCGTCTGCCAGTATGGCAGACATGGCTGTGGGCGCCTGTTGGGGGGTTTCATGCAGAGCCTGGATTGGCATTTGAGGCACTGCAGATCCTCTGGTAGAAGGTAAGAGGTGGTGTTGGGGCTGAGGCTGAGGGTCAGGGTGGGTGGCGATACTAGCAGCCTGAGGAGGAACATCTAAGGGAGGAGAGGGACTATGAGTTTGTACGGGGTTGATGCAAGCATGGAGAGGTGTTGGTGAAGGAGCTGATGAGGTGGAGGATGGGTGGGACTGGATGATAGGAGGACTTATTGTAACGTTGGGGGTTTGTGGTGAGGTGGGAATGGTATCTGTATGAGAGAAGTGGCAAAATAGGATTTGATTTTTTGCTAAGTTTGATGGAGTCGTGCACAAATGTGCAGAAGAATCTAGAAGACGACACTAACTGGTGCCACTGACAAAAAATGCAGATTTAACTTCCCTCAGGTTTGCACAGTCTACAGCAGAACATACTCCTTTTTTTGTTGTTGTTTTTTGGACTTGAATTCCTTTTATTAAAAGGGTAGGATAGTGCCTCAAGCCTGAAACTCGGAGAGAGAGTGTAGGAATGACATGCAATGATGTGTATGTACGTGTCTTGAAGGACTAAAACATCTCACTGTTTATGTGGCATACAAGTTATCCGCAAGGCCAAACCTGCAGAACCTCATGGTTGAGTTAGAAAGATGAATCACTGTGAAACTGAGTTAAATACCTTGTTTGGTCCTCTTCTCCCTGACAGGTGCTCTGTTGCTGGACAACAGTAAAGGAACATTACAAAACGTTAACATTGTGCCTTGCAGAACATTTTTGATGGATCCACAAAAAGCATTTATTACCTTGTCTCTTTCGAAGATGAAACAGCATTCTCTCTGCCCCTGAAATAAGAGTAGCGAATCATTCAGTACTGACAAATGGGGTGTATTCTTATCTATTGTAGCGGCTCCAATTGTACCTTCCAGTCCCCTCCTCTTCCAGGTTTAGAGCGTTGTCCTGTTTGGTTGTTTTGACCTCAGGTTGTGACCCTGTCAGAGCCTTCTTCCTGCTCAGCGCTCCAGCTAACCAATCATCCTCCTCCTCCTCCTCTTGACCTCTTCTCTGGACTTTGAAGTCCTCTGGTTTGGTTTGTTTTTGGACATCATCAGCCAGGACTTGAGTGTCTGTGGCTGTTTTGGCAGTAGATATGGCAGGACTGTCCCCACTCACTGATGGTCTTCTCTCTGTCGAAGGCGAGGAGGGGGTCTTTGTAGACTCTACTGTGGTCTTGTTCTCTTTGGCGGTACCTTGTTCAAAGCTTCGGTCGTCATCGTCGTCTGTCTTGAGGCCAAGCCAGTCAGCTGAGTTGCGGTGTCTAGAAGAGGTGGAGGTGGTGAACTTTGTCTTTTTCTCAGGGGAAGACAAGCTCACGTCCTCTGTGGAGAATCTGATGACAGTGTGATTTCAAAGTTCAGTTTCAGTTGGACTAAAGCAATAAATCAACATTTTTTAACTGCATTTTCTGTAGGTCATAAACCCCGCCCCCTTCATGTAATCAGATGGGACATGGATCAGACTTTAAAATCAAAACACACACTGACAAAAGTTTGCTGTTCCTAGTAGGGATGGGAGAAAAAATCCATTTTACACAACTATCGCATTTTTGTTTTATAATTTTTAAATAAATTTTTTGGTTCAAAAATCTTTTTTCTTTTTTTTTCCAAATTTAAGAATAAAAACTGACTTACATGTGTTGTGTATTTTTTGGGGAAACATGGTTCCTGGAATAGCCGGTAGACAACCATAATTATTGAACTGTTTCGCTGGTGTTAAAAATGCAGACTAAAAATCAAGAAAATCAACAATATTGTAGAATCGCAATTTCAATCGAATCGGCATCCAAAAAAATTATAGAAGAATCGAATCAGGAGAAAAGCATTTCCTCCCAGCCCTAATTCCTAGTGATGTTAAGTCTCTGCTATCATAAATAATGTTGTGACTCCTGTGACTGTCTATCATTTAGAGTGTTTAGTGCTGCAACCAAGCCTACGACAGAACTTGAACAGCAAACCAACGTCCAGGAGTGTCTCTCTTCTTCTTTTTTTTTAACCATACAACATTAATTTCTTCCATTTAAATCTCCTTTTTTATGATTTGTAAGTAGATATCCAACTATTAAAAATTCACTGACGGCCCTAATGTGCAACAGGGGAGGAAAATGAGAGAAAGCCGACTAACACAAGAGTCGCAGAATTTTTCATTACTGAGAGTATTAGCCTCTGTTTTTAGAGTAGAGGGAGGAGGCCATGTCACAGCATGGGGAAAAATTAGCTACTAGACTCCAAGATTGGTCTCCACACACACCTGACAGACTGTCTGCGGGACTGCCTTCCTTCAGGCGTGGACATCAAAGTGGGCTGATAGGAACCAAACGTGACATCATCTTCTAAAAGTGGCTCTGAGAAATGGGGACACATCCACCTTTAAATATTTCATTGTTTTTAAACATTCCTCTACACACATTTATGTTAAGAAGAAGACTATTTTGCTGTTTTACCTTTCCCACCAGAGGTCTTCCCTTGTTGTTGCTCCTCTTTAGACTGAGCTCTGTCCTTCATCTCACCCGTTGGGGGTCGCTCATGTAGTCGAGGTGAATTCATGCTCTCAAGAATCTCATCGAGTCGTGTACGGACTCTCTGGGGTGGCTCAGTCCTTCGAAAGTTGGATGTTTTTTGAAAAAAAAAAAAAAAAACAAACAAAGGAGGAAATACAAAGCCCCCTTGAGCACTAGAGCAGTAATAATTTATCACTGAGCACTAACAACAAGGACGGCAAGAAGAGTTAGACAAGACTGTTACCTTTCCTTGCTGGGCCAAAGCACACTGTCTTTCTTCTTCAGAGTGGTCTTCTCATCGTCAAATCCGAGTGCATCTATCAGGTCTTCCTTATCATCGAAAGTAATATCAGCATGTTTCTTTGCTGCCTTGGCTGATGAACAAAAAAAAACACACACAAATAAACAAACACACTAAGTGCTTGTGCGTTTCTATATGCTCGGAGAGGCAAATATTCAGGTTATTTGAGGCTCACGTGGGTCAGTCTCCAGGATGGGAGATGCTGCAGCAGACGGTGTAGACTTTACAGGTTTGGACTGCTGAGTACTGGGTTTAGATTTGGGCTTTGTTTCCTCTGGGAGCAGGTCATCAAGTAGATCAGCCAGAGGGTCTTCTTCATCTGCAGTGGAAGGTCCATCTTTAATTCTTTTATGATATTTTATGAGTAGACCAAGAAACTTTGGAGGATCATGTGCAGTATATGTAGACATGTTTAAATCTACATCTGTTTCTAGAGGTACCAGAGGCACGTGATTTTAATGCGACATGACACCAATGTTCATGTTCTGCAGTGTTGCCCAAAGTGTGTCCTGCTGCCCTTTAGTGGGCGTTAAAGGTACTGCAGCTTGGCCACTTCCGGTCAGTCATAGTTAGTAGATATTTTCTTTGTTTTGTTGCTCTAAAAATGATGTGAAGGCATTTTTTATTTACAATGCAATGAGACACAGGACCATTTTTAAGAAGAACTTTCTCCTTTTATATGCAGAGGAATAATCTGAGTATCAGGTGTTAGAGTTGAGTGATTTGAGATTTAAGTAAATTATCTATAGATTTCAAAGTGGGTTGCAGCATCTAAAGTGTGTAACTAGCTGAGGTATTGGGTAACATTTAATCTCTGTGAGGAACTTTTGATTAGTGCCACTTTTTGACAGTCAAATTTAACACACATCATATATTTTTTACATGGAAAATATAAAAACGTGAGTCTTTCTTCAGCTGTTTGGCTGACGCCTACCCTTCTGCACAAGTTTCAGGTATTAAAAATCTACAACATAAAAAATCTTCAGTCTTGTCACTGATGGTTTTGTTTGCTTTTGTATTTCACGCAAAGGCATCAAAATGAACTTCAGTCTACTTCATAAACACAGGAGCTTTGAAAACATCTACTGTCTCCTCACTGGAACTATTTAACTACAGTTTTAATCTCAAACACACACATCTACACCAGTGTACCTTTCATGTGAGGCGTCTGACCAACACCTTCTCCATCATCTCCAGAGTCTAAATGAATGCAGCAGTTTGAGGAAACAAAACAAAGCTCTCAGCAAGTAAAAGTTTTTGCTCAGTTGGAGAGTTAAAGGTGAAAGGAAGGCAAACTTACCAGAGAATGTGAATTTCTTGTAGTTCTGTGAGGTAGTCAAAGGAGGAGCAGAGTTTGGCGTCTTTTCCTCTGGTGTAGGTTTATCTGAGTAAAGAGGAAGAAGGCACACCTTACTCTGACTGCAACAAGTGAGGTGAACAGCAAAGTCAGCAACAATTCAAAGATGAAGATGTAAAAGTTACCTGTTTCCTCTGTTTTCACATTAGTTTTGGATGTAGAGGGGGTTTTCTTTGTCCCTTTTTTGTCATGTGTTTGTGCAGGAGCAGAAACTGTATTTTTCTTTGGTGCAAAAAGCTCAGCATCCATATCATCCATGTCCTTTAAACACAACAGGTTTGTGAATAGATAACCTTCAGATGACGAAGGGATGACAATGAATCTGACAGTAGTCTCGTAAGTTTCATAATGTCTTACCTTCATGTTCTTTAGTATGTCATTTGGATCTGCTGCTGAGACATCAGATTCCTTGGACAAAAAATAGGATATTAACAAAAAGCCAATAAATTCATGCTGAAAACCTATGACCACGAAGATGTATGTGTGCGACACTTCTTGCACATTATCTACATACCTCAGATTCCTCGCCATCCCTCTTCACCTCCTCTGCAAGCATACTGAAAATGTTGTCAGTAGCAGTAGAGCTGTAAAAAAAAGACAAGGTGTATTTCACCAGCAGGAACCGTTATAAATGCATTCCTTAAATGTTCACTTTTTCTGTCTTACCGAACAAGTGGTCCACTGCGGGCTGCTCTCCCTCTGACCGGAGGTTCTGGGAAGTAAATGAAAGAGATGAAAAAATTAAAACTTTTGGAATCATATAACCGTAACTTTTATAATAAAATGGTTTGAGTTAAACTTACTTGTATCGTCAAATAGGCTGTCAAGCAAATCATCTCCAAATGAACCTTGGGAAAGTGAATGGAGACAGTTTTACATCAACTTGTTGCTGCCTGCTCTGTCATGTTTAAGCTTTTGATTGTTCATTGTAAATTATTCTGGCCATGCTTCACATATCAAGACTTTTGTATAATAAACTGATATTAGTATCAAATAACACTTAAGTATCTTACTTTTGGGTGGTTTGCCCCTTGGTTTTGCTGCCTGTAAAAAGGGATATGATATCATTAGAGACCCCATAATGATTTATCAGTCTGAGAAGCAGCTAACATGAATATCTGCAATTTCATCCATACTTGGTTCAAATACAAAATAGGGGAGAGTGGGGTAAGATGAGACGTTTTTTATATTTCGGATCACTACATCAAGTCAATCATAGTTTTGTCTCTAACTCGTGTATCTGCATATATTTCAAGATGTTGTACATCCCTGCAAACCAACAGAATGAGTGTAAACATAACTGTCTTGATAATATAGCATGCCAAAAACAGTTGTCTCCTATGTTCAACTCACCCCGTGTATGGGGCAAGTTGACCATAGGAGCAGGGTAAGTTGAGCCGTATCCCTACCAATCAACTATCCCTACTATCAACATAAAAAGGCTTTAATGATGGAAACAGACGCAACAAAACAGCTTGTATAAGTGTCCCTGAGACTGAAGGTTCGTGTTACTTGTAGAAAATGCAGCTTGTGTAACTGTTGCATTCCAACCACAGCAAATTGCATGGCTTCAACGCCCAAATCACGTTCCGTCTTACCATGTTTATGGAATCCTTAATGCGTCCAGGATCTGGTAGCTAGCTAGCACGCTAGCTAAATCTGGTCAAGCGTCTCCCGTCTCCCTTGGCAACCGCTCCCCGGTAAGTCGAAAAGCGTTCCTGTTAAGGTTGTAATGAAAGATAATGGTTAAATAAAGCTTCAATTTGTATTGTATGATACCCTGACACCGTAAAAGAATGTCAGTGAAGCTGAAGCGAACAGTTTATTGAGTCAGTGACACCAAGCACGTCGCCATAGCTAGCAGAAGCGTTGAGCCTTTCACACATCACTTCTCATTCAAATAAACTGTAACGCACATGCTGTAATGATAACTCCATTGGTATGAGGAACAGGTGAAGTGAAGTAGAAATCGTGAGCGTCTATCTTTAATTTACATACCATGGCTTGTGTGAAGAGACTGTTGTAGCAGTAACACCAATCTAGCCTATCCGTACTAACCGCCGTAGCTACGCTAAACGTACATTTCCTGTTTTCAATTCGCAGTGAACTGTGGGTGAAGTAGTTTTTAGTGCATCGCTTTCGAGGCAAACCAGAGCAGTGGATTAAACAGAGTGGCGACTGATTGATTTCTGCTTATGGGATGATAGAGTTAAGGGACCGCTACTTTTTAAATCCTGTCAGCATTTAAGGCATATGTTTAACGTGGAAAAATGTTATGCAGGCCATGCCGCAAGACCAAAACATTGCACAATTGTTGAAACAGCTTGTAACACCTGTTACTTACCACTTTATTGTATTATTTTCTCTTATTAAAAAGTAACACCTGTTACCAAACTTGTCTTATTTCACTTTTATTTGTCATCCAGCCACTAAATATACGTATGTAACTTTGATGTGCACAAATCCAATAAGAGTTGCAAATGTTGACTTTTTACGGTTAATTTTAATATTTACCTCTTTAATGCGCGCTCACTGCAGTCTGTCCCGTTGAAGAACATGGACAGTGACATAGACTGTATATAAGAGGAACAAGGATGTATCTTGTCATCCTCTGGTTCCTGTTGAAGTATTTGTAGATTAGCCTATATTTCACATTCTGTTAAATCTCTTTTTCAGCCAAACATCTTTTTATTATTTATGCTGATTTAGAAAGATTTTTCAATTTAATAAAAGCATGTAATGACTTCACTCTATGTGTGAATTAGTATAAAGTACCATCACATGAAAATAGGCTTTTTTTTTTACTCAAGGGAAAAGGTATTTTGGCTCAGAGCTGATGTGATATTTTTATTTTTTAAAGTTCAAATTTCGATATCTTTATGGCCTTTTGATGCCTTATAATGGGGTTTGTCAAATAACAATGATCAACTTTAGGTTTTTTTTTAAAAACAGGGGGACAAAGTGCTTTACAGATGTAGTTACTGCTCTAAAATATTGATATGATAGGAGTATACATAGACTATTTTTAGTAGTCTTCTAAAGAAAATCGACTGAATTTAGTTGAAGTAAAGGCTTCAGTGGAAATTATAATGAGAGACAAAGTTTCCAGTTTTTGTTGGGTTACCTATGAGACATAGGCCTACTAAGCTATAGTTTTCAAAAAGGGGTCGTTTTGTACCGAAATATGGAAGGTTTTTAAATTAAAATGCTTTTTATATTCTTAAACTAGTTGACGAAAAATAACCTCCGCTTTACTTCAAGAGATATTTATATTCCATTGAGATTAAAGTAAATCAAAGATAATATTTTAGATATAACCTACCAGTGTAAGGGTTTTTCTAAAGTAAACAGCATTTAAATCTCCATGGTAACCTGTAACGCTGTAAAAACTTTAACTCATTACAAGCCAGCGAGAGCGGTCATTTCTGAGGATCAAATCTGAAGAGAACAGCACGGAAAACTTAAGTGGCTCACGAACTTACACCTTTTGACGGCTTCATCATAAATAAAACCTCACCAGACGACCAAGGACTCCGTCAAACACCTTCGACAAACACCTGAACAGAGAGGACAACATCTACGACATGGAGACCGTAAGATTTCATGACAATATTATCATACAAACTTGTGTTACTGTCGAGACTTTCGTGAAGGATAAGCGATGCATCGACAAGAATTAAATGTGTGCATGGATATTTACAGTGTTTATGACTTTAATGTGACAGGCATTATCAAAATTAACCGAAAATAAGTGAATATAGGCGTTTTTTTGTGTGTGTGTTACTGTCGAGACGTTCGAATGGTTAGCTTAAAAGTGATTCATTGACATCACATGAAAGTCCTGCCCACCATGTCAAAGGCTCTTTGTGCTTAAGAGCAGAAAAGCTCATGTTATTGTGCGAAATCTCTCTAAGAGATTTTTTATGTCTTCTGGGCTATTTAAAGCCGTCAGTCTGAAACTTATTTGACAGTTTCTCTTTATACTAACCAATGCTATCAGGTGAAAACTATAAACACAAGCTATTTTCACTCTTATTACAGCGAAAGAGGCACAGTGAAATGTGGTGTTAAACTAAGGGACACCTTCATAACTTTAAAGAATGACAGTCATCATAAAATTCAACAACCTATTTATGAATGCTCTAATAGGTCT